CACAGTGGCTAGGAGATGTTGACTACCTCGCCTGGTCTACAGGAGGTTGTGGGTTAGATCCTGACCCTGACACCACAGGGGCTAGGAGATGTTGACTACCTCGCCTGGTCTACAGGAGGTCGTGGGTTAGATCCTGACCCTGACACCACAGTGGCTAGGAGATGTTGACTACCTCGCCTGGTCTACAGGAGGTCGTGGGTTAGATCCTGACACCCACAGTGGCTAGGAGATGTTGACTACCTCGCCTGGTCTACAGGAGGCCGTGGGTTAGATCCTGACACCACAGTGGCTAGGAGATGTTGACTACCTCGCCTGGTCTACAGGAGGTCGTGGGTTAGATCCTGACACCACAGTGGCTAGGAGATGTTGACTACCTCGCCTGGTGTACAGGAGGTCGTGGGTTAGCTCCTGACCCTGACACCACAGTGGCTAGGAGATGTTGACTACCTCGCCTGGTCTACAGGAGGTCGTGGGTTAGATCCTGACCCTAACACCACAGTGGCTAGGAGATGTTAACTACCTCGCCTGGTTTACAGGAGGTCGTGGGTTAGATCCTGACACCACAGTGGCTAGGAGATGTTGACTACCTCGCCTGGTTTACAGGAGGTCGTGGGTTAGATCCTGACACCACAGTGGCTAGGAGATGTTAACTACCTCGCCTGGTTTACAGGAGGTCGTGGGTTAGATCCTGACACCACAGTGGCTAGGAGATGTTGACTACCTCGCCTGGTCTACAGGAGGTCGTGGGTTAGATCCTGACACCACAGTGGCTAGGAGATGTTGACTACCTCGCCTGGTCTACAGGAGGTCGTGGGTTAGATCCTGACACCACAGTGGCTAGGAGATGTTGACTACCTCGCCTGGTCTACAGGAGGTCGTGGGTTAGATCCTGATACCACAGTGGCTAGGAGATGTTGACTACCTCGCCTGGTCTACAGGAGGTCGTGGGTTAGATCCTGACACCACAGTGGCTAGGAAATATTGACTACCTCGCCTGGTCTACAGGAGGTCGTGGGTTAGATCCTGACACCACAGTGGCTAGGAAATGTTGACTACCTCGCCTGGTCTACAGGAGGTCGTGGGTTAGATCCTGACACCACAGTGGCTAGGAGATGTTGACTACCTCGCCTGGTCTACAGGAGGTCGTGGGTTAGATCCTGACACCACAGTGGCTAGGAGATGTTGACTACCTCGCCTGGTATACGGGAGGTCGTGGGTTAGATCCTGATACCACAGTGGCTAGGAGATGTTGACTACCTCGCCTGGTCTACAGGAGGTCGTGGGTTAGATCCTGACACCACAGTGGCTAGGAGATGTTGACTACCTCGTCTGGTCTACAGGAGGTCGTGGGTTAGATCCTGATACCACAGTGGCTAGGAGATGTTGACTACCTCGCCTGGTATACAGGAGGTCGTGGGTTAGATCCTGACACCACAGTGGCTAGGAAATATTGACTACCTCGCCTGGTCTACAGGAGGTCGTGGGTTAGATCCTGACACCACAGTGGCTAGATGTTGACTACCTCGCCTGGTCTACAGGAGGTCGTGGGTTAGATCCTGACCCTGACACCACAGTGGCTAGGAGATGTTAACTACCTCGCCTGGTATACAGGAGGTCGTGGGTTAGATCCTGACACCACAGTGGCTAGGAGATGTTGACTACCTCGCCTGGTCTACAGGAGGTCGTGGGTTAGATCCTGACCCTGACACCACAGTGGCTAGGAGATGTTGACTACCTCGCCTGGTCTACAGGAGGTCGTGGGTTAGATCCTGACCCTGACACCACAGTGGCTAGGAGATGTTGACTACCTCGCCTGGTATACAGGAGGTCGTGGGTTAGATCCTGACCCTGAAACCACAGTGGCTAGGAGATGTTCACTACCTCGCCTGGTCTACAGGAGGTCGTGGGTTAGATCCTGACCCTGAAACCACAGTGGCTAGGAGATGTTGACTACCTCGCCTGGTCTACAGGAGGTCGTGGGTTAGATCCTGACCCTGACACCACAGTGGCTAGGAGATGTTGACTACCTCGCCTGGTATAGAAGAGGTCGTGGGTTAGATCCTGACTCTGACACCACAGTGGCTAGGATTGCAGAGAGTCTATGACTCTCTGCATGGTGAGCCTATGTGTCTCTGCGTGGTGAATCTATGGGTCTGCGTGGTGAGTCTGTGGGTCTCTGCGTGGTGAGTCTATGGGCTCTGCGTGGTGAGTCTATAGATCTGCGTGGTGAGTCTATGGGTCTGCGTGGTGAGTCTATGGGTCTCTGCGTGGTGAGTCTATGTGTCTCTGCGTGGTGAATCTATGGGTCTGCGTGGTGAGTCTGTGGGTCTCTGCGTGGTGAGTCTATGGGTCTCTGTGTGGTGAATCTATGGGTCTCTGTGTGGTGAGTCTATGGGTCTGTGTGGTAAGTCTATGGGTCTGCGTGGTGAGTCTATGGGCTCTGCGTGGTGAGTCTATGGGTCTCTGTGTGGTGAGTCTATGACTCTCTGCATGGTGAGCCTATGTGTCTCTGCGTGGTGAGTCTATAGATCTGCGTGGTGAGTCTATGGGTCTGCGTGGTGAGTCTATGGGTCTCTGCGTGGTGAGTCTATGGGTCTCTGTGTGGTGAGTCTATGGGTCTGTGTGGTGAGTCTATGGGTCTCTGCGTGGTGAGTCTATGGGTCTCTGCGTGGTGAGTCTATGGGTCTCTGTGTGGTGAGTCTATGGGTTTCTGCGTGGTGAGTCTATGGGTCTCTGCGTGGTGAGTCTATGGGTCTCTGCGTGGTGAGTCTATGGGTCTCTGTGTGGTGAGTCTATGGGTCTCTGTGTGGTGAGTCTACGGGTCTCTGTGAGGTGAGTCTATGGGTCTGCGTGGTGAGTCTGTGGGTCTGCGTGGTGAGTCTATGGGTCTCTGCGTGGTGAGTCTATGGGTCTCTGTGTGGTGAGTCTATGGGTCTCTGCGTGGTGAGTCTATGGGTCTCTGTGTGGTGAGTCTATGGGTCTGTGTGGTGAGTCTATGGGTCTCTGCGTGGTGAGTCTATGGGTCTGCGTGGTGAGTCTATGGGTCTCTGCGTGGTGAGTCTATGGGTCTCTGTGTGGTGAGTCTATGGGTCTGCGTGGTGAGTCTATGGGTCTCTGCGTGGTGAGTCTATGGGTCTCTGCGTGGTGAGTCTATGGGTCTCTGCGTGGTGAGTCTATGGGTCTCTGTGTGGTGAGTCTATGGGTCTCTGCGTGGTGAGTCTATGGGTCTCTGCGTGGTGAGTCTATGGGTCTCTGCGTGGTGAGTCTATGGGTCTCTGTGTGGTGAGTCTATGGGTCTGCGTGGTGAGTCTATGGGTCTGCGTGGTGAGTCTATGGGTCTCTGTATGGTGAGTCTATGGGTCTGCGTGGTGAGTCTATGGGTCTGCGTGGTGAGTCTATGGGTCTCTGTGTGGTGAGTCTGTGGGTCTCTGTGAGGTGAGTCTATGGGTCTCTGTGAGGTGAGTCTATGGGTCTCTGTGAGGTGAGTCTATGGGTCTCTGTGTGTTGAGTCTATGGGTCTCTGTGAGGTGAGTCTATGGGTCTCTGTGTGGTGAGTCTGTGGGTCTCTGCGAGGTGAGTCTGTGGGTCTCTGAGAGGTGAGTCTATGGGTCTCTGCGTGGTGAGTCTATCGGTCTGCGTGGTGAGTCTATGGGTCTGCGTGGTGAGTCTATGTCTCTCTGTGTGGTGAGTCTATGGGTCTCTGTGTGGTGAGTCTATGTGTCTCTGTGTGGTGAGTCTATGGGTCTCTGTGTGGTGAGTCTGTGGGTCTCTGTGAGGTGAGTCTGTGGGTCTGCGTGGTGAGTCTATGGGTCTCTGTGAGGTTTGTCTATGGGTCTCTGCGTGGTGAGTCTATGGGTCTCTGTGTGATGAGTCTATGTGGCTCTGTGTAGTGGTGAGTCTATGGGTCTCTGTGTAGTGGTGAGTCTATGGGTCTCTGCGTGGTGAGTCTGTGGGTCTCTGTGTGGTGAGTCTGTGGGTCTCTGTGAGGTGAGTCTATGGGTCTCTGCGTGGTGAGTCTGTGGTCTCTGCGTGGTGAGTCTATGTGTCTCTGTGTGGTGAGTCTATGTGTCTCTGTGTGGTGAGTCTATGGGTCTGCGTGGTGAGTCTGTGGGTCTCTGCGTGGTGAGTCTGTGGGTCTCTGTGAGGTGAGTCTATGGGTCTCTGTGAGGTGAGTCTATGGGTCTCTGTGAGGTGAGTCTATGGGTCTGCGTGGTGAGTCTGTGGGTCTCTGCGTGGTGAGTCTATGGGTCTCTGCGTGGTGAGTCTATGGGTCTCTGTGTGGTGAGTCTATGGGTCTCTGTGTGGTGAGTCTATGGGTCTCTGCGTGGTGAGTCTGTGGGTCTCTGCGTGGTGAGTCTGTGTCTCTGTGTGGTGAGTCTATGTGTCTCTGTATGGTGAGTCTATGGGTCTGCGTGGTGAGTCTGTGGGTCTCTGCGTGGTGAGTCTGTGGGTCTCTGCGTGGTGAGTCTGTGGGTCTCTGTGAGGTGAGTCTATGGGTCTGCGTGGTGAGTCTGTGGGTCTCTGCGTGGTGAGTCTATGGGTCTCTGTGAGGTGAGTCTATGGGTCTCTGTGAGGTGAGTCTGTGGGTCTCTGTGTGGTGAGTCTATGGGTCTCTGTGTGGTGAGTCTGTGGGTCTCTGCGAGGTGAGTCTGTGGGTCTCTGCGTGGTGAGTCTATGTGTCTCTGCGTGGTGAGTCTATGGGTCTCTGCGTGGTGAGTCTATGGGTCTCTGCGTGGTGAGTCTATGGGTCTCTGCGTGGTGAGTCTATGGGTCTCTGCGTGGTGAGTCTATGGGTCTCTGTGTGGTGAGTCTATGGGTCTGCGTGGTGAGTCTATGGGTCTCTGCGTGGTGAGTCTGTGGGTCTCTGCGTGGTGAGTCTATGGGTCTCTGCGTGGTGAGTCTATGGGTCTCTGTGTGGTGAGTCTATGGGTCTGTGTGTTGTGAGTCTATAGGTCTCTGTGAGGTAAGTCTGTGGGTCTCTGTGAGGTGAGTCTACGAACCTTCAAGCTGGCCACGGATGATGTATAGAGCACATATCTTTGGATTGTCATAGTCTCCCTGTGAAAGACACGGGGAGAGAGAGAGACACGGGGAGAGACACGGGGAGAGAGAGAGACACGGGGAGAGACACGGGGAGAGAGACGGGGAGAGAGACATGGGGAGAGAGAGACACGGGGGGAGAGAGAGACACGGGGAGAGAGACACGGGGAGAGACACGGGATGTGAGAGACAGACACGGGGAGAGAGACACGGGGAGAGAGACACGAGGAGAGAGAGACACACGAGGAGAGAGAGAGACACGGGGAGAGAGACATGGGGAGAGAGACATGGGGAGAGAGAGACACGGGAGGAGCGAGAGACACGGGGAGAGAGAGACACGGGGAGAGAGAGAGACACGGGGAGAGTGGCACGGGGAGAGACACGGGATGTGAGAGAGAGACACGGGGAGAGAGAGACACGGGGAGAGAGACACGAGGAGAGAGAGACATGTGGAGAGAGAGACACACGAGGAGAGAGAGAGACACGGGTACAGAGAGACACGGGGAGAGACACGGGATGTGAGAGAGAGACACGGGAAGTGAGAGAGAGACACGGGGAGAGAGACACGGGGAGTGAGAGACACGGGGAGTGAGAGACACACGAGGAGAAAGAGAGACACAGGGAGAGAGAGACACGGGGAGAGAGACAGAAAGACACGAGGAGAGAGAGAGAGACGCATGGGGAGAGACACGGGGAGAGAGAGACACGGAGAGAGAGAGACACGGGGAGAGAAAGACACGGGGAGAGAAAGACACGGGGAGAGAAAGACACGGGGAGTGAGAGAGACACGGGGAGTGAGACACGGGAATGAGACACGGGAAGTGAGAGACACGGGGAGAGAGAGACACGGGGAGAGAGAGACACGGGGAGTGAGAAACACGGGGAGAGAGACACGGGAAGAGAGACACGGGAAGAGAGAGACACGGGGAGAGAGAGACACGGGGAGAGAGAGACACGGGGAGAGAGAGACACGGGGAGAGAGAGACACGGGGAGAGAGAGACACGGGGAGAGAGCGACACGGGGAGAGAGAGACACGGGGAGTGAGAGACACGGGGAGAGAGAGACACGGGGAGTGAGAGACACGGGGAGAGGGAGACACGGGGAGAGAGAGACACGGGGAGACAGAGACACGGGGAGACAGAGAGAGAGACACGGTGAGAGATTAACACAAAGGTATAGACACAGGTGCTGGTGAGTGAGCGAGCAAGCGAGCGGGTGGTGAGTGGGTGGTGAGTGGGTGGTGAGTGGGTGGTGAGTGGGTGGTGAGTGGGTGGTGAGGACCGTCCCCCCCACCCACCCCTCACCTTGACGAACTCCACGGTGAGCAGGCCCTGGTAGGTGGAGGCCTCCCCGGCCACCGACAGCTTCCCACGCAGCAGCGAGAAGGCAACGGCCACGTCGTGGGCAGCGCTGTGCCCCACGCGCTCGTAGATGTCCAGCCCCGTGAGCACCGCGTGGCCGTTCACACGCACGTCAAACACCTGTAGGGTGGTACACTCACGTCAAACACCTGTAGGGTGGTACACTCACGTCAATCACCTGTAGGGTGGTACACTCACGTCAAACACCTGGTGGGTGGTACACTCACGTCAAACACCTGTAGGGTGGTACACTCACGTCAAACACCTGTAGGGTGGTACACTCACGTCAAACACCTGTAGGGTGGTACACTCACGTCAAACACCTGTAGGGTGGTACACTCACGTCAAACACCTGTAGGGTGGTACACTCACGTCAAACACCTGGTGGGTGGTACACTCACGTCAAACACCTGTAGGGTGGTACACTCACGTCAAACACCTGTAGGGTGGTACACTCACGTCAAACACCTGGTGGGTGGTACACTCACGTCAAACACCTGTAGGGTGGTACACTCACGTCAAACACCTGTAGGGTGGTACACTCACGTCAAACACCTGCAGGGTGGTACACACACGTCAAACACCTGGTGGGTGGTACACTCACGTCAAACACCTGTAGGGTGGTACACTCACGTCAAACACCTGTAGGGTGGTACACTCACGTCAAACACCTGTAGGGTGGTACACTCACGTCAAACACCTGTAGGGTGGTACACTCACGTCAAACACCTGTAGGGTGGTACACTCACGTCAAACACCTGTAGGGTGGTACACTCACGTCAAACACCTGTAGGGTGGTACACTCACGTCAAACACCTGGTGGGTGGTACACTCACGTCAAACACCTGTAGGGTGGTACACTCACGTCAAACACCTGGTGGGTGGTACACTCACGTCAAACACCTGTAGGGTGGTACACTCACGTCAAACACCTGTAGGGTGGTACACTCACGTCAAACACCTGGAGGGTGGTACACTCACGTCAAACACCTGTAGGGTGGTACACTCACGTCAAACACCTGTAGGGTGGTACACTCACGTCAAACACCTGCAGGGTGGTACACACACGTCAAACACCTGGTGGGTGGTACACTCACGTCAAACACCTGTAGGGTGGTACACTCACGTCAAACACCTGTAGGGTGGTACACTCACGTCAAACACCTGTAGGGTGGTACACTCACGTCAAACACCTGTAGGGTGGTACACTCACGTCAAACACCTGTAGGGTGGTACACTCACGTCAAACACCTGTAGGGTGGTACACTCACGTCAAACACCTGTAGGGTGGTACACTCACGTCAAACACCTGGTGGGTGGTACACTCACGTCAAACACCTGTAGGGTGGTACACTCACGTCAAACACCTGGTGGGTGGTACACTCACGTCAAACACCTGTAGGGTGGTACACTCACGTCAAACACCTGGTGGGTGGTACACTCACGTCAAACACCTGTAGGGTGGTACACTCACGTCAAACACCTGTAGGGTGGTACACTCACGTCAAACACCTGCAGGGTGGTACACACACGTCAAACACCTGGTGGGTGGTACACTCACGTCAAACACCTGTAGGGTGGTACACTCACGTCAAACACCTGTAGGGTGGTACACTCACGTCAAACACCTGTAGGGTGGTACACTCACGTCAAACACCTGTAGGGTGGTACACTCACGTCAAACACCTGTAGGGTGGTACACTCACGTCAAACACCTGGTGGGTGGTACACTCACGTCAAACACCTGTAGGGTGGTACACGCACGTCAAACACCTGTAGGGTGGTACACGCACGTCAAACACCTGGTGGGTGGTACACGCACGTCAAACACCTGTAGGGTGGTACACTCACGTCAAACACCTGTAGGGTGGCACACCCACGTCAAACACCTGTAGGGTGGTACACTCACGTCAAACACCTGTAGGGTGGTACACTCACGTCAAACACCTGTAGGGTGGCACACCCACGTCAAACACCTGTAGGGTGGTACACTCACGTCAAACACCTGTAGGGTGGTACACTCACGTCAAACACCTGTAGGGTGGTACACTCACGTCAAACACCTGTAGGGTGGTACACTCACGTCAAACACCTGTAGGGTGGCACACTCACGTCAAACACCTGTAGGGTGGTACACTCACGTCAAACACCTGTAGGGTGGTACACTCACGTCAAACACCTGTAGGGTGGTACACTCACGTCAAACACCTGTAGGGTGGTACACTCACGTCAAACACCTGCAGGGTGGTACACTCACGTCAAACAGCTGTAGGGTGGTACACTCACGTCAAACACCTGTAGGGTGGCACACTCACGTCAAACACCTGTAGGGTGGCACACTCACGTCAAACACCTGTAGGGTGGTACACTCACGTCAAACACCTGTAGGGTGGCACACTCACGTCAAACACCTGTAGGGTGGTACACTCACGTCAAACACCTGTAGGGTGGCACACTCACGTCAAACACCTGTAGGGTGGCACACTCACGTCAAACACCTGTAGGGTGGCCGTTCACACTCACGTCAAACACCTGTAGGGTGGTACACGCACGTCAAACGCCTGTGCAGGTAGGGTGAGGATGGAACCCACGACTCCCTGCGTGCCAGGCGAGGCAGTGAACGCCTCCCAGCCAGCGACCTCCAGCAGGCCGCCGGGGCAATCGCCGTCAGTAACGAGCGGCGGCTACGACGGGCGACAAAGCCCCGCGGGCCTCCCGGGGCACCTCCCTCCCCCCGTCACCTTGGCCTGCGAGTGGAGGAAGTAGACCTCGGCGAACTTGAGCACGAGGACGTAGTGGCCGTCGCGGGCCAGCGGCACGGTGTAGGAGAAGGAGGAGTCCGCCCACCGCTCCGTCTGGTACAGCTCCTGGTCCTGGGCCGAGACTCGAGCGATGGGAAGGCGGCGGCCGTAGTCAGACGCTGTGGTGGGGGGGGGTGGAGTAAGGTGGGGGAGAGAGGGGAGGTGCCAACTCGCTCGCTCATTCATTCATTATTAATTCACTCACTCACTCACACTCTCATTAACTCTCATTCGATCATCAATTCGCCCACTCAATCGCTCGCTCATTCGTTGATTCACACACTCATTCATTAACTCACTCACCCACTCAATCACTGATTAATCCACCAACCCCACCCACCCACCCACTCACCCACTCAGTCACTCACCCACCCACTCACCCACCCACTCACCCACCCACGCACCCACCCACCCACGCACCCACCCACCCACTCACCTACTCACCCAGCCCACCCACTCACCCACCCCACCCACCCCACTCACCCACTCACCCACTCACCCACCCACCCCACCCCTCACCCACTCACCCACTCACCCCACTCACCCCACTCACCCACCCACTCACCCACCCACTCACCCACCCCACCCCTCACCCACTCACCCACTCACCCCACTCACCCCACTCACCCACCCACTCACCCACTCACCCCACTCACCCCACTCACCCCACTCACCCCACTCACCCACCCACTCACCCACCCACTCACCCCACTCACCCACCCTCTCACCCACCCACCCACCCCACTCACCCACTCACCCACTCACCCCACTCACCCACTCACCCACTCACTCACCCACTCACCCCACTCACCCCACTCACCCACCCACTCACCCACCCACTCACCCCACTCACCCACCCTCTCACCCACCCACCCACCCCACTCACCCACTCACCCACTCACCCCACTCACCCACCCACCCACCCACTCACCCCACTCACCCCACTCACCCCACTCACCCACCCACTCACCCACCCACCCACCCACCCACCCACCCACCCACCCACCCGCCCCACTCACCTGTCCCCACCTTTCCGTCCAGGGGGTCAGCCTGGTAGCGTATTCCCTGTGAGTCCGTGTGGGCGCCCCCTCCTGCGTTCACGGCCCACACCACCTGGGGCCCCCTCGATCCTCCGCCACCGCCGTCACCGCCGTCACCGCCGTCACCACCGCCATCGCCAACGCCATCACCATCGCCGCACCGCACTCCGCCAAAGAGGAGTACGGGGAGGAGGAGGAGGACGCGATGGAGGTGATGGTGGTGATGATGGGAGCTGGCCATTGCGAACCTGTGGTAAACACGGAGGGGGGGTGGTATGGGGGTGGGGGGGTGGGTAGGTTGGGTGGGTATGGTGGGTAGGTTGGTGGGTGCGTGGGTGGATAGGTGGGTGGGTCGGTTGGGTGGGTGGGTAGGTTGGGTGGGTGGGTAGGTTGGGTGGGTAGGTTGGGTGGGTGGGTAGGTGAGTGGGTGGGTAGGTGGGTAGGTTGGGTGTGTAGGTTGGTGGGTAGGTGAGTTGGTAGGATGGGTGGGTGGGTAGGTTGGGTGGGTAGGTTGGGTAGGTGAGTGGGTGGGTAGGTGAGTGGGTAGGTTGGGTGGGTGGGTGGGTAGGTTGGGTGGGTTGGGTGGGGGGGTGGGTAGGTTGGGTGGGTGGGAAGTTTAGGTGGGTGAGTGGGTAGAGTGGGGGAGCGTGGGTAGGTGGGTGGGTAGGTGGGTGGGTAGCTGGGTGGGTGGGTAGGTGGGTGGGTGGGTGGGTAGGTGGGTGGGTAGTTTGGGGGGGAAGGAAGGTCGGTGGGAAGGTGGGTGGGTTGGGTGGGTGGGTAGGTGGGTGGGTGGGCGGGTGGGAAGGTGGTTAGGTGGGAAGGTGGGTGGGAAGATGGATGGGTGGGTGCGTGAGTGGGTAGGTTGGGTTGTGGGTGGGTAGGTTGGATTGGTGGGTGGGAAGGTGGCTGTGTGGAAAGGTGGGTGGGTAGGTAGGTGGGTTGTGGGTCGGTTGGGTTGTGGGTGGGTTGGGGGGTGGGTACGTTGGGTTGTGGGTGCGTGGGTGGGTGGGTAGGTTGGATTGGTGGGTGGGAAGGTGGCTGTGTGGAAAGGTGGGTGGGTAGGTGGGTAGGTAGGTTGGGTTGTGGGTGGGTAGGTGGGTGGGTAGGTTGGGTTGTGGGTGCGTGGGGTGTTCTATAGGCTTCCTGCTCTCACCCCACACGTGGGTGGGTGGATAATTGTAATTCTAGATTTGAAGCTATCGTGACTGCAAGGATCCATACTCTTTGGTTCTATTCGGTAAAGTCACCACGTAGGTACAAAAAAAAACCGTCGTGATTTTTGTTATTTTATTTTTTACCTACGTGACTTTACCGAATAGAACCAAGGAGTATGGATGATTGGAAGTTGGCTATAGGGAGAGAGAACCATCTCTCAATATAGGATCGCAGAACTTGGGCAAATGTCAGCACCCGTTCTCATTTTGGGGAGAGAATCGCGCACAAATATTCTGTATTGTGCAAGGTGAGGCCCCACTAAGCTACTGCTGTGTAGAGCTCCGATCAGACAGGCGACGTGGCCATCACAATGATAACAGCTCCACCACGTGGCTGATGTCATCATCATCACCACGTGGCTGATGTCGTCATCAGCACCACGTGGCTGATGTCATCATCAGCACCACGTGGCTGATGTCGTCATCATCAGCACCACGTGGCTGATGTCGTCATCATCATCACGTGGACATTCACAGCAGCAGCCAAATCCTCTGAACGCAGAGAGACCCACAGAGATCCACAGAGACCTACAGAGACCCATAGAGACCCACAGAGACCCATAGAGACTCACAGAGACCCAGAGACCCACAGAGATCCACAGAGATCCACAGAGACCCATAGAGACCCACAGAGACTCACAGAGACCCATAGAGACCTACAGAGACCTACAGAGACCCACAGAGACCCACAGAGACCCACAGAGACCCACAGAGACCCAGAGACCCACAGAGACCAAGATAGAACCATAATTGAAGGGGAAAACCGGTGGACCTGGAGACATTCACACAGTGACCACCACGGGGAGAGAGAGAGAGAGACAAAGAGACAGAGAGAGACAAACAGACAGAGAGAGACAGAGAGAGAGACAGAGAGAGAGACAGAGAGAGACAGAGAGAGAGAGACAGAGAGAGAGACAGAGAGAGAGACAGAGAGACAGAGAGACAGAGACTCCACATAGACAGCAGCAGCAGGCATTGTCAGGGTCCAGGATGAAACCCACGACCTCCTGTGTACCGGGCGAGGTAGTTAACATCTCCTAGCCACTGTGGTGTCAGGGTCAGGATCTAACCCACGACCTCCTGTGTACCAGGCGAGGTAGTTAACATCTCCTATCCACCGTGGTGTCCCAGACGCATAAACACAAACAGTACATGCATGTACAGTGCTGTACGCATTTAAAGTACTAAAGTACACGCACATACAGCACGCACGTGCAGTACACAGGTGTACAGTACGCATGTTCACTGTACATGCACAAATTGGGCACATTCACATTACATACAGTGCATACAGTTCTCACATACAGTACGCGCATACAGTACGCGCATGCAGAGTGCACACGTCTGTACAGTGCGCGCGCCTGTGCAGTGCGCGCGCCTGTACAGTACGCGCGCCTGTACAGTACGCGCACCTGTACAGTACGCACACCTGTACAGTACGCACACCTGTACAGTACGCACACCTGTACAGTACACACACCTGTACAGTACACACACCTGTACAGTACACACACCTGTACAGTACACACACCTGTACAGTACACACACCTGTACAGTACACACACCTGTACAGTACACACACCTGTACAGTACACACACCTGTACAGTACACACACCTGTACAGTACACACACCTGTACAGTACACACACCTGTACAGTACACACACCTGTACAGTACACACACCTGTACAGTACACACACCTGTACAGTACACACACCTGTACAGTACACACACCTGTACAGTACACACACCTGTACAGTACACACACCTGTACAGTACACACACCTGTACAGTACACACACCTGTACAGTACACACACCTGTACAGTACACACACCTGTACAGTACACACACCTGTACAGTACACACACCTGTACAGTACACACACCTGTACAGTACACAACAGGCAAAGGTGCCCCGTGTAGTCCAAGCGGGCTGTAGCGGCGCGTGCTGGGCACGCCAGTGAAGTCACGTGGTGGTGGTGGGGTAACACGTGGGTCATAACATGTCGACCAAACACCAACTGGCGGTGCCAGGCGAGGTGCACGTGTGGTGAGTTACCCGTATGGCGGCAGTCGTGGTGACAGTGGAGCTGGTGCCAGGCTAGGTGCACCTGCTGTGGTGAGTGAGCTACCCGTATGGCAGCAGTCGTAGTGACAGTGGAGCTGGTGCCAGGCTAGGTGCACCTGCTGTGGCGAGCGAGTTACCCGTATGGCGGCAGTCGTGGTGACAGTGGAGCTGGTGCCAGGCTAGGTGCACGTGTGGTGAGTTGCACGTGTGGTGAGTTACCCGTATGGCGGCAGTCGTGGTGACAGTGGAGCTGGTGCCAGGCTAGGTGCACCTGCTGTAGTGAGCGAGTTACCCGTATGGCAGCAGTCGTGGTGACAGTGGAGCTGGTGCCAAGCTAGGTGCACCTGGAGTTGAAGCCGCGACGAGACCGGGGGGGGGGAGGGGGGCAACTTGGAGCTCTCTGATTGGTCCACGCGGCAGCCAAGCCACCTCCCACCATTGCCTTCTCCCATTGGTCGGAGCCTCGAGCATCGCGCCTGCCCATTGGCTCAGCCACCCACCCCACTTTGAAACCCGTGCTGGGAATCGATACACGAGTTGATACGAATCGTGAATCGATTCCGACGCTATTCACCAATAGGAGACGGCGGAATCGATAAACGATTATCCGAATCGGTTGTATTGGAGTCTCAGAACGAAGAGAATCGGTTGGTTTTAACGCCGTGGGTTCGATGCGGGCTAAGTCAACGACGAGTCGAAACTACGGAACCGCGTTTGGGTCATTTTAAATTAAATGAGACGTCTTACATTTCCGCGTTTTTTAATATTCATGAAAAAATGAATATTTACACCGCGAAAATGTCACAGTTTTATTCTTATTGTTGCAACATCGATTTGTGATTTTTTGTAATTTTATTATAGTTTAAACGAATTGTCAATAGCTCCACACACTGTCAGGGGCATAAAGGGGGGGAGGATATATAAAGTAGGCGACGTTTCGGTTGATGTGCCTACTTCATGGCTCACGCACACACGCTCGTTCAGTAATTCACTCATTCAGTCTCTCACCCACTCACTCGCTCACTCACTAAGTCACTCACCCACTCACTCACTCACCCACTCACTAAGTCACTCACCCACTCGCTCACTCACTCACTAAGTCACTCACCCACTCACTCACCCACTCACTAAGTCACTCACCCACTCACTAAGTCACTCACCCACTCACTCACTAAGTCACTCACTCACTAAGTCACTCACTCGCTCACTAAGTCACTCACCCACCCACTCACTCTCTCACCCACCCACTAAGTCACCCACTCACCCACTCACTCACCCACTCACTAAGTCACCCACTCACTCACCCACTCGCTCGCCCACCCACTCACTAAGTCACCCTCTCACTCACTCACTCGCTCACTCACTCTCTCACCCACTCACTAAGTCACTCACCCACTCACTAAGTCACTCACCCACTCACTCGCTCGCCCACCCACTCACTCGCTCACCCACTCACTAAGTCACTCACCCACTCACTAAGTCACTCACCCACTCACTAAGTCACTCACCCACTCACTAAGTCACTCACCCACTCACTCGCTCGCCCACCCACTCATTCACTCACCCACTCACTAAGTCACCCACTCACTCTCTCACTCACTAAGTCACTCCCCCACTCGCTCGCCCACCCGCTCACTCACTCACTAAGTCACTCACCCACTCACTCACTCACTCGCTCACTCACCCGCTCACTCACTCTCTCACCCACTCACTAAGTCACTCACCCACTCACTCGCTCACTCACCCGCTCACTCACTCTCTCACCCACTCACTAAGTCACTCACCCACTCACTCTCTCACCCACTCACTAAGTCACTCACTCACTCACCCACTCACTCGCTCACTCACTAAGTCACTCACCCACTCACTCACCCGCTCGCTCACTCACTCACCCACTCACTAAGTCACTCACCCACTCACTCACCCACTCACTAAGTCACTCACCCACTCACTAAGTCACCCACTCACTCACCCACTCACTAAGTCACTCACCCACTCACTAAGTCACTCACCCACTCACTAAGTCACTCACTCACTCGCTCGCTCACCCGCTCACCCACTCACTCACCCGCACTCCCAATCACTCACCAACGCATGTGAACCTGCACAGCTGGTGCCAGGCTAGGTGCACGTTATATCCAGACAGTTCTGGTGCGAACCTTAAAACACGGAGAGCGGAGAGACAGTGGAGTCTACCACGTGGTGCGGGGTAAAGTGTGGGCACACAGACAAAGCTCCCCCAGGTAGCCTCTAGCAGGGCTGTAGGGGCAAGTGCTGTTAGCTATCGAGTAGCAGCAGTGTCTATGTACTACACACACCACACACAGACAAAGCTCCCCCAGGTAGCCTCTAGCAGCCTGTAGGGGCAAGTGCTGTTAGCTAGCGAGTAGCAGCAGTGTCTATGTACTACACACACCATACACAAAGCTCCCCCAGGTAGCCTCTAGCAGGCTGTAGGGGCAAGTTCTGTTACACAAAGCTCCCCCAGGTAGCCTCTAGCAGGGCTGTAGGGGCAAGTGCTGTTACAAAGAAAAAACTCCCCCAGGTAGCCTCTAGCAGGCTGTAGGGGCAAGTGCTGTTACACAGACAAAGCTCCCCCAGGTAGCCTCTAGCAGGCTGTAGGGGCAAGTGCTGTTACACAAAGCTCCCCCAGGTAGCCTCTAGCGTGCTGTAGGGGCAAGTGCTGTTAGCGAGCACCTATGAAGGCCGCCGGCACTGTGGCTACACACAGAGGGGGTGGGTGGCCAGCACCACCACGCCCGGCCGCCTTTGTCTCCCCAGTGGCGATGTTCACTGCACCACCACCACTGCACCTGGCACTCATTTGAGGCTGAGGTGACCTAGGGGAAGCCCAGGACCGGCTCAGACAATCGTCACTGGTGGTGTTGCCCGTGAGCACGAATCGAACTCGGGTCGCCAGGTTCGTAGCGCAGCGCACGAACCGTTACACACAGAGACACACACAGAGACACACAGTGACACACACACACAGAGACACACACAGAGAGACACACAGAGACACACACAGACACACACACATAGACACACAGTGACACACACAGACACACACAGAGACACACAGTGACACACAGTGACACACACACAGAGAGACACACACAGAGAGACACACAGAGACACACACACAGAGACACACACAGAGACACACACAGAGACACACACACAGAGACACACACACAGTGATACACACACAGAGACACACACACAGAGACACACACACAGTGACACACACACAGTGACACACACACACAGTGACACACACACACAGAGACACACACACAGAGACACACACAGAGACACACACGGTGACACACACAGACACACACACACAGAGACACACACAGATACACACACACACACAGAGACACACACAGAGACACACACACAGAGACACACACACAGTGACACACACACAGAGAGACACACACAGAGAGACACACACACAGAGACACACACAGAGACACACACAGAGACACACACAGTGACACACACACAGTGACACACACACAGAAACACACAGAGACACACACAGAGACACACACAGTGACACACACAGACACACACACAGAGACACACACAGACACACACACACACAGAGACACACAGAGACACACACAGTGACACACACACAGTGACACACACACAGACACACACAGAGACACACACAGTGACACACACACAGAGACACACACACAGAGACACACACAGACACACACACAGAGACACACACAGAGACACACAGTGACACACACACACAGACACACACTTAGACACACACAGAGAGACACACAGAGACACACACAGAGACACACACAGAAACACACAGTGACACACACAGTGACACACACACAGAGACACACACAGAGACACATACACAGAGACACACTGAGACACACAGAGACACACACAGAGACACAGAGACACACACAGAGACACACACAGTGACACACACACAGAGACACACACACAGAGACACAGAGACACACACAGTGACACACTGAGACACACACAGTGACACACAGTGACACACACAGTGACACACAGTGACACACACAGTGACACACACAGAGACACACACACAGAGACACACACTGAGACACACAGAGACACACAGAGACACACACAGAGACACACAGTGACACACACACAGTGACACATAGAGACACACAGTGACACACACAGAGACACACAGAGACACACACAGTGACACACACACAGTGACACACAGTGACACACACAGACACACAGAGACACAGTTAGACACACACACAGTGACACACACAGAGACACACAGAGACACACTGAGACACACACAGAGACACACAGAGACGCACACACACAGTGACACACAGTGGCACACACACACAGTGACACACAGTGACACACACAGAGACACACACACAGAGACACACTGTGGCACACAGACACACACACACAGTGACACACAGTGGCACACAGACACACACACAGTGACACACAGTGGCCCACACACAGAGACACACACAGAGACACACACAGTAACACACAGTGACACACACAGTGACACACAGAGACACACTGAGACACTCACAGAGAAACAGAGTGACACACAGAGACACACACACAGAGACACACACAGAGACACACACATAGAGACACACACTGAGACACACACAGAGACACACAGAGACACACACAGAGACACACAGTGACACACACACAGTGACACATAGAGACACACAGAGACACACAGAGACACACAGTGACACACACAGACACACACAGACACACAGAGACACACTTAGACACACACACAGTGACACACACAGAGACACACTGAGACACACACAGAGACACACAGAGACGCACACACACAGTGACACACAGTGGCACACACACAGAGTGACACACAGTGACACACACAGAGACACACACACAGAGACACACACAGTAACACACAGTGACACACACAGTGACACACAGAGACACAGAGACACTCACAGAGACACAGAGTGACACACAGAGACACACAGTGACACACACAGTGGCACACAGACACACACAGTGACACACAGTGGCACACACACAGAGACACACACAGTGACACAAAGATCCAGAGACACACACAGTGACACACACAGTGACACACACACAATGACACACAGTGGCACACAGTGGCACACAGACACACACACAGTGACACACAGTGGCACACACACAGAGACACACACAGTGACACACACAGTGACACACACACACAATGACACACAGTGGCACACAGTGGCACACACACAGAGACACACACAGAGAGACACACAGAGACACACACAGACACACACACAGAGACACACACAGAGACACACACAGAGACACACACACAGAGACACACACACAGTGATACACACACAGAGACACACACAGAGACACACACACAGTGACACACACACAGTGACACACACACACAGTGACACACACACACAGAGACACACACACAGAGACACACACAGAGACACACACGGTGACACACACAGACACACACACACAGAGACACACACAGATACACACACACACACAGAGACACACACAGAGACACACACACAGAGACACACACACAGTGACACACACACAGAGAGACACACACAGAGAGACACACACACAGAGACACACACAGAGACACACACAGAGACACACACAGTGACACACACACAGTGACACACACAGAAACACACAGAGACACACACAGAGACACACACAGTGACACACACAGACACACACACAGAGACACACACAGACACACACACACACAGAGACACACAGAGACACACACAGTGACACACACACAGTGACACACACACAGACACACACAGAGACACACACAGTGACACACACACAGAGACACACACACAGAGACACACACAGACACACACACAGAGACACACACAGAGACACACAGTGACACACACACACAGACACACACTTAGACACACACAGAGAGACACACAGAGACACACACAGAGACACACACAGAAACACACAGTGACACACACAGTGACACACACACAGAGACACACACAGAGACACATACACAGAGACACACTGAGACACACAGAGACACACACAGAGACACAGAGACACACACAGAGACACACACAGTGACACACACACAGAGACACACACACAGAGACACAGAGACACACACAGTGACACACTGAGACACACACAGTGACACACAGTGACACACACAGTGACACACAGTGACACACACAGTGACACACACAGAGACACACACACAGAGACACACACTGAGACACACAGAGACACACAGAGACACACACAGAGACACACAGTGACACACACACAGTGACACATAGAGACACACAGTGACACACACAGAGACACACAGAGACACACACAGTGACACACACACAGTGACACACAGTGACACACACAGACACACAGAGACACAGTTAGACACACACACAGTGACACACACAGAGACACACAGAGACACACTGAGACACACACAGAGACACACAGAGACGCACACACACAGTGACACACAGTGGCACACACACACAGTGACACACAGTGACACACACAGAGACACACACACAGAGACACACTGTGGCACACAGACACACACACACAGTGACACACAGTGGCACACAGACACACACACAGTGACACACAGTGGCCCACACACAGAGACACACACAGAGACACACACAGTAACACACAGTGACACACACAGTGACACACAGAGACACACTGAGACACTCACAGAGAAACAGAGTGACACACAGAGACACACACACAGTGACACACACAGAGACACACACATAGAGACACACACTGAGACACACACAGAGACACACAGAGACACACACAGAGACACACAGTGACACACACACAGTGACACATAGAGACACACAGAGACACACAGAGACACACAGTGACACACACAGACACACACAGACACACAGAGACACACTTAGACACACACACAGTGACACACACAGAGACACACTGAGACACACACAGAGACACACAGAGACGCACACACACAGTGACACACAGTGGCACACACACAGAGTGACACACAGTGACACACACAGAGACACACACACAGAGACACACACAGTAACACACAGTGACACACACAGTGACACACAGAGACACAGAGACACTCACAGAGACACAGAGTGACACACAGAGACACACAGTGACACACACAGTGGCACACAGACACACACAGTGACACACAGTGGCACACACACAGAGACACACACAGTGACACAAAGATCCAGAGACACACACAGTGACACACACAGTGACACACACACAATGACACACAGTGGCACACAGTGGCACACAGACACACACACAGTGACACACAGTGGCACACACACAGAGACACACACAGTGACACACACAGTGACACACACACACAATGACACACAGTGGCACACAGTGGCACACACACAGAGACACACACAGTGACACACACAGTGACACACAGTGACACACACAGAGACACACACAGTGACACACACAGTGACACACACACACAATGACACACAGTGGCACACAGTGGCACGCAGACACACACACACAGAGACACTGAGACACACACAGACACACACACAGAGACGCACACACAGTGACACACAGTGGCACAAAGACAGAGACACACACAGTGACACACACAGAGAGACACACAGAGACACACACAGTGACACACACAGAGACACAGAGACACACAGAGACACACACACAGAGACACACACAGTGACACACAGACACACAGTGACACACAGTGACACACACAGTGACACAAACAGTGACACACAGTGGCAAACACAGTGGCACACAGTGACACACACACACAGAGACACACACAGAGACACACACACAGTGACACACAGTGACACACACACAGTGTCACACACACAGAGACACACTTAGACACACACAGAGACACACAGAGACACACACAGTGACACACACACACAGTGTCACACAGTGGCACACACACAGTGATACACACAGTGACACACACAGAGACACACACACAGAGACACACTGAGACACACACAGTGGCACACACACAGTGACACACGCACAGTGACACACACAGACACACACACAGTAACACACAGACACACACACACAGTGACGCACACAGTGACGCACACAGTGACACACACACACACACACAGTGACACACAGTGACACACAGACACACACAGTGACACACAGTGGCACACAGACACACAGTGACACACACAGTGACACACACAGAGACACACAGAGACACAAACACAGTGACACACACACAGAGACACACACAGCACACAGTGACACACACACACAGACACACACACACAGAGACACACACAGCACACAGTGACACACACACACAGACACACAGTGACACACAGTGACACACAGACACACACAGTGGCACACAGACACACAGTGACACACACACAGACACACAGTGACACACAGACACACACAGTGAGACACACACAGTGACACACAAACACACAGACACACAGACACACACAGTGACACACACACAGTGGCATACAGACACACAGTGACACACAGACAGTGACACACACAGTGACACACAGACACACACAGTGGCATACAGACACACAAACAGAGGCACACAGATACACACAGTGACACACAGTGGCACACAGACACACAGTGACACACACAGTGACACACACACAGAGACACACACAGAGACACACACACAGAGACACACACACAGAGACACACACAGCACACAGTGACACACACACACAGACACACACACAGAGACACACACAGCACACAGTGACACACACACACAGACACACAGTGACACACAGTGACACACAGTGGCACACAGACACACAGTGACACACACAGTGACACACAGTGACACACACACACAGACACACAGTGACACACAGTGACACACAGACACACACAGTGAGACACACACAGTGACACACAAACACACAGACACACAGACACACACAGTGACACACACACAGTGACACACAAGAACACACAGTCGCATACAGACACACAGTGACACACAGACAGTGACACACACAGTGACACACAGACACACACAGTGGCATACAGACACACAAACACACAGACACACACAGTGACACACACACAGTGACACACAGACACACACAGTGGCAAACAGACACACAGTGACACACACACAGACACACACAGTAACACACAGACACACACAGTGGCAAACAGACACACAAACACACAGACACACACAGTGACACACACAGTGACACACAGACACACACAGTGGCAAACAGACACACAGTGACACACACACAGACACACACAGTGACACACAGACACACACAGTGTCACACACACAGTGAAACACACAGACACACGGTGACACACAGTGGCATACAAACACACAGTGACACACACAGTGACACACACACACAGTGACACACAGACACACACAGTGACACACAGACACACACAGTGACACACAGACACACACAGTGACACACACACAGTGACACACAGACACACACAGTGACACACACACACACAGACACACACAGTGACACACACACACAGACACACACACAGACACACACACAGTGACACACACACACAGACACACATACAGACACACAGTGACACACACAGTGACACACAGACACACACAGTGACACACACACACAGACACACACAGTGACACACACAGACACACACACACAGACACACACACAGTGACACACACACAGACACACATACACAGACACACAGTGACACACACACACAGACACACACACAGTGACACACACACAGACACACATACAGACACACAGTGACACACACAGACACACACACAGACACACACAGACACACACACACAGACACACAGTGACACACACAGTGACACACAGACACACACAGAGACACACACAGAGAGACACACAGTGACACACACAGTGACACACACACAGTGACACACAGACACACACAGTGACACACACACAGACACACACAGTGACACACACAGACACACACACACAGTGACACACACACACAGACACACATACAGACACACAGTGACACACACAGTGACACAAAGAGCCTCGCGCGCGTGCGCGCGAGGCACTCTGGGTAGAGCTGTCAGCATCAGCACCAGCGAGCAGCAACATCAGGAGGAGAGACGGGGTGAGACACACGGAGACACAGAGACACACACAGAGACACGGGGTGAGACACACGGAGACACAGAGACACACACAGAGACACACACAGAGACACGGGGTGAGACACACGGAGACACAGAGACACACACAGAGACACACACAGAGACACACAGAGACACGGGGTGAGACACACGGAGACACAGAGACACACACAGAGACACGGGGTGAGACACACGGAGACACAGAGACACACACAGAGACACGGGGTGAGACACACGGAGACACAGAGACACGGGGTGAGACACACGGAGACACAGAGACACACAGAGACACACAGAGACACGGGGTGAGACACACGGAGACACACACACAGAGACACACGGAGACACAGAGACACGGGGTGAGACACACGGAGACACAGAGACACACAGAGACACGGGGTGAGACACACGGAGACACACACACAGAGACACACAGAGACACGGGGTGAGACACACGGAGACACACACACAGAGACACACAGAGACACGGGGTGAGACACACGGAGACACACACACAGAGACACACAGAGACACGGGGTGAGACACACGGAGACACACACACAGAGACACACAGAGACACGGGGTGAGACACACGGAGACACACACACAGAGACACACAGAGACACGGGGTGAGACACACGGAGACAGACACGGGGTGAGACACACGGAGACACAGAGACACACGGAGACACAGAGACACACAGAGACACACACACAGAGACACACAGAGACAGAGAGACGGGGTGAGACACACGGAGACACACACACAGAGACACACACAGAGACACACAGAGACACACAGAGACAGAGAGACGGGGTGAGACACACGGAGGCACAGAGACACACAGAGACACGGAGTGAGACACACGGAGACACAGAGACACACAGAGACACGGGGTGAGACACACGGAGACACAGAGACAGAGACACACAGAGACACGGGGTGAGACACACGGAGACACAGAGACACACACAGAGACACACAGAGACACGGGGTGAGACACACGGAGACACAGAGACACGGGGTGAGACACACGGAGACACAGAGACACACACAGAGACACACAGAGACACGGGGTGAGACACACGGAGACACAGAGACACGGGGTGAGACACACGGAGACACAGAGACACACACAGAGACACACACACGGAGACACGGGGTGAGACACACACACAGAGACACACAGAGACACGGGGTGAGACACACGGAGACACAGAGACACACAGAGACACACACAGAGACACACAGAGACACGGGGTGAGACACACGGAGACACAGAGACACACAGAGACACGTGGTGAGACACACGGAGACACAGAGACACGGGGTGAGACACACGGAGACACAGAGACACACAGAGACACGGGGTGAGACACACGGAGACACAGAGACACACAGAGACACACAGAGACACGGGGTGAGACACACGGAGACACAGAGACACACAGAGACACACAGAGACACGGGGTGAGACACGGAGACACAGAGACACACAGAGACACACAGAGACACGGGGTGAGACACACAGAGACACGGGGTGAGACACACAGAGACACACAGAGACACGGGGTGAGACACACAGAGACACGGGGTGAGACACACAGAGACACACAGAGACACGGGATGAGACACACAGAGACACACAGAGACACACAGAGACAGAGAGACGGGGTGAGACACACGGAGACACACACACAGAGACACACACAGAGACACACAGAGACACACAGAGACAGAGAGACGGGGTGAGACACACGGAGGCACAGAGACACACAGAGACACGGGGTGAGACACTCGGAGACACAGAGACACACAGAGACACGGGGTGAGACACACGGAGACACAGAGACACACAGAGACACGGGGTGAGACACACAGAGACACAGATACACGGGGTGAGACACAGAGACACACAGAGACAGAGACATTTGGTGAGACACCCAGAGACACAGAGACACACAGAGACACACATAGACAGAGACACACAGAGACAGACACGGGGTGAGAGACACACAGAGACAGACACGGGGTGAGACACACAGAGACACAGAGACACACAGAGACACACAGAGACAGAGACACGGGGTGAGAGGCACAGAGACAGAGACAAAGAGACAGAGACACAGAGCCCCGGGGTGAGAGACAGAGACATAGAGACATAGACACAGAGACATAGAGACAGAGAGACACGGGGTGAGAGACACAGAGACATATACACAGAGACACAGAGACATAGAGACAGAGACACGGGGTGAGAGACACAGAGACATAGAGACAGAGACACAGAGACACGGGGTGAGAGACATAGAGACATAGACACAGAGACACAGAGACACGGGGTGAGAGACACAGAGACATAGAGACAGAGACACGGGGTGAGAGACACAGAGACAGAGACACAGAAACATAGAGACAGAGACACAGACACACAGAGACATAGAGACAGAGATACAGAGACACGGGATGAGAGACACAGACACAGACACAGAGACACACAGAGACACAGAGACACGGGGTGAGAGACACAAACACAGAGACATAGAGACAGAGACACGGGGTGAGAGACACAGAGACACGGGGTGAGAGACACACAGAGACAGAGACACACAGAGACAGAGACACGGGGTGAGAGACACAGAGACAAACAGAGAGACAGAGACAGGGGGTGAGAGACAGAGACACACAGAGACAGAGACACAGAGACACGGAGTGAGAAACACAGAGACACGGGGTGAGAGACACACAGAGACACACAGAGACAGAGACACGGGGTGAAAGACAGAGACAGAGACACAGAGACACGGGGTGAGAGACACAGACACACACAGAGACACGGGGTGAGAGACAGAGACAGAGACACGGGGTGAGAGACACAGACACGGGGTGAGAGACACGGAGACACAGAGACAGAGAGACAGAGACAGGGGGTGAGACACACAGAGACACAGAGACACGGGGTGAGAGACACAGAGACACGGAGTGAGAGACAGAGACACAGAGCCACGGGGTGAGAGACACAGAGACACAGAGACACACAGAGACAGAGAGACAGAGACACGGGGTGAGAGACACGGAGACACAGAGACAGAGAGACAGAGACACAGAGACACGGGGTGAGAGACAGATACACAGATACACACAGACACAGAGACACGGGGTGAGAGACACGGAGACACGGGGTGAGAGACACGGAGACACAGAGACAGAGAGACAGAGACACGGGGTGAGAGACACAGAGACACGGGGTGAGAGACACAGAGACACAGACGGGAGACACGGGTAGACACATGGAGACACGTGGAGACAGAGAGGCACAGGGAGACACAGGGAGACAGAGGGAGACAGAAGGAGACAGAAGGAGACACGGGAAGACAGTGGAGATGGCGATTCTGATGGTGATTCTGATGGTGCTGGTGATGGTGATGATGATGGTGGTTATGATGATGATGGTGGTGGTGGTGATGCTGGTGATGATGATGATGGTGGTGGTGATGATGATGATGGTGATGATGATGATGGTGGTGATGATGATGATGGTGGTGATGGTGGTGGTGATGATGATAGTGGTGTTGATGGAAATGGTGGTGATGATGGTGATGGTGGTGACGATGATGGTGATGATGATGGTGGTGATGGTGGTGGTTATGATGGTGATGGTGATGATGATGGTGATCGTGGTGATGATGATAGTGATGATGGTGATGATGCTGGTGATGATGATGATGGTGTTGATGGTGGTGGTTATGGTGATGATGATGATGGTGGTGATGGTGGTGATGGTGTTGATCATAGTGATGGTGATGATGCTGGTGATGATGATGGTGATGATGATGATGGTGTTGATGATGATGCAGATGATGATGGTAATGATGGTGATCATGGTGATGGTGATGATGATGGTGTTTCTGGTGGTGGTTATGGTGATGATGATGGTGTTGATGGTGATGGTGGTGATGGTGGTGATTATGGCGATGATGATGATGGTGGTGGTGATAATGGTGATCATGGTGATGGTGATGATGATGGTGTTGATGCTGGTGGTTATGGTGATGATGATGGTGATGATGATGATTTTTGTGATGATGATGATGATGGTGGTGATGGTGATGGTGGTGATGGTGGTGATTATGGCGATGATGATGATGTTGATGATGACGGTAGTGGTGATGATGGTGATCATAGTGATCATGGTGATGGTGATGATGCTGGTGGTTATGGTGATGATGGTGTTGATGCTGGTGGTTATGGTGATGATGGTGTTGATGATGATGGTGGTGGTGGTGATGATGATGATGGTGGTGATGATGATGATGGTGGTGGTGATGATGATAGTGGTGTTGATGGAAATGGTGGTGATGGTGGTGACGATGATGGTGATGATGATGGTGGTGATGGTGGTGGTGATGATGGTGATGGTGGTGGTGATGATGATGGTGGTGATGATGATAGTGATGATGGTGATGATGCTGGTGATGATGATGATGATGGTGTTGATGGTGGTGGTTATGGTGATGATGATGATGGTGGTGATGGTGGTGATGGTGTTGATCATAGTGATGGTGATGATGCTGGTGATGATGATGGTGATGATGATGATGGTGTTGATGGTGGTGGTTATGGTGATGATGATGATGATGGTGTTGATGATGATGCGGATGATGATGGTAATGATGGTGATCATGGTGATGGTGATGATGATGGTGTTTCTGGTGGTGGTTATGGTGATGATGATGGTGTTGATGGTGATGGTGGTGATGGTGGTGATTATGGCGATGATGATGATGGTGGTGGTGATGATGGTGATCATGGTGATGGTGATGATGATGGTGTTGATGCTGGTGGTTATGGTGATGATGATGGTGATGATGATGATTTTTGTGATGATGATGATGATGGTGGTGATGATGGTGTTGATGGTGATGGTGGTGATGGTGGTGATTATGGCGATGATGATGATGTTGATGATGACGGTAGTGGTGATGATGGTGATCATAGTGATCATGGTGATGGTGATGATGCTGGTGGTTATGGTGATGATGGTGTTGATGCTGGTGGTTATGGTGATGATGGTGTTGATGATGATGGTGGTGATGGTGTTGATGACGATGATGGTGATGATGATGATGGTGGTGATGGTGATGGTGGTGATGGTGGTGGTGATGATGCTGGTGATGATGATGATAATGGTGATCATGGTGATGGTGATGATGTTGATGGTGGTGGTTATGGTGATGATGATGATGGTGTTGATGATGATGATGATGGTAGTGATGGTGGTGATGGTGATGATGGTGTTGATGATGATGATGATCAGAATCAGAATCAGAAAGGGTTTTATTCGCCATGTAAGTTCACACCGACACGGAATTTACTTTGGCAGGATGGTACATACATTCAACATATAGGAATCTAAAATCTTAAATAAGTTTTAAACAAGTCTTACTATAATAAGGGTTAAAAGTCTAACACCAAGGGGCTGAAGTATATAAAATTAAATAAATATCGAATATAAAATAGCTTTAAGATATAATTTTAAAAATAAAAAATACAAATAGGGTAACATAGTTAATATTGGCAAGGTGTCGTTATGTAGATCAAATGTTAAAAACAGTGTTAGCCCTTGGCCTTGTTTAACAGGCCAGCAGCAGATGGGAAGAAACTGTTTTTTATGGCGTGAGGTTTTGTTCCTGATGGACCGAAGCCTTCTGCCGGAGTGGAGTAGCTGAAACAAAGAGTGTCCAGGGTGGGAGAAATCGGCCACAATCTTCCTCGCTCGCCTCATGGACCTTGTCGTGTGCAGGTCCTCGAGGGTTGGTAGATTGCAGGCAATCACCTTCTCAGCAGTGTGGATGATACGCTGCAGTCTGCTCTTGTCCTGGGCAGTGGCAGCAGCGTACCAGACGGTTATTGAGGAGGTGAGGATGGATTCAATGATCGCTGTATAGAATTGCACCATCATTGTCCACCATCATGATGATGGTGGTCATTGTGATGGTGATGATGGTGTTGATGGTGGTGGTTATGGTGATGGTGTTGATGATAATGGTGGTGATGGTGGTGATGGTGGTGATTATGGCGATGATGATGATGTTGATGATGATGATGGTGGTGTTTATGATGGTGATCATGGTGATAGTGATGATGCTGGTGGTTATGGTGATGATGGTGTTGATGATGGTAGTGATGGTGTTGATGATGGTGGTGATGGTGTTGATGACGATGATGGTGATGATGATGCTGATGATGATGATGGTTGTGATAGTGATGGTGGTGATGATGCTGGTGATGATGATAATGGTGATCATGGTGATGGTGATGATCTTGATGGTGGTGGTTATGGTGATGATGATGGTGTTGATGATGATGATGATGCTGGTGATGGTGGTGATGGTGATGATGGTGATGATGATGATGGTCATGGTGATGGTGATGATGATGATGGTGTTGATGGTGGTGGTTATGGTGATGATGATGGTGTTGATGATGATGGTGGTGATGGCGGTGATGGTGGTGATTATGGCGATGATGATGATGATGTTGATGATGATGGTGGTGGTGATGATGATGGTGATCATGGTGATCATGGTGATGGTGATGATGCTGGTGGTTATGGTGATGATGGTGTTGATGATGATGGTGGTGATGGTGTTGATGATGATGGTGTTGATGCTGGTGGTTATGGTGATGATGGTGTTGATTACGATGATGGTGATGATGATGCTGATGATGATGGTGGTGATGGTGATGGTGGTGGTGATGATGCTGGTGATGATGATGGTGATGATGATGGTGTTGATGATGATGGTGGTCATGGTGGTGGTGATGGTGATGATGATGATGGTGATGATGGTGTTGATGAGGGTGGTGATGGTGGTGATGGTGATGATGGTGGTGATGGTGATGATGGTGGTGATGATGGTGATCATGGTGATGGTAATGATGCTAGTGATGGTGTTGATGATGATGATGGTGGTGATGGAGGTGATGATGGTGGTGATGGTGATGATGGTGATGATGGTGGTGATGGTGGTGATGTTCACAGTTGGACAGCAGACACCATGGCTCATACATCTGGGGACAAAGTGAAGGTACGTGTCTCTGTCTGTGTGTCTCTGTCTGTGTGTCTCTGTCTGCGTGTCTCTGTGTGTCTCTGTCTGTTTGTCTCTGTGTGTCTCTGTCTGTGTGTGTCTGTCTGTATCTCTTTCTGTATGTCTCTGTCTGTGTGTCTCTGTGTGTCTCTGTCTGTGTGTCTCTGTGTGTCTCTGTGTGTCTGTGTGTCTCTGTCTGCGTATCTCTGTGTGTGTGTCTCTGTGTGTCTCTATCTGTGTGTCTCTGTGTGTCTCTGTCTGTGTCTCTGTCTGTGTGTCTCTGTGTGTCTCTGTCTGCGTGTGTTTGTCTGTGTGTCTCTGTCTGTCTCTGTCTGTGTGTTTCTGTCTGTGTGCCTCTGTCTGTCTCTGTCTGTGTTTCTGTCTGTGTCTCTGTGTGTCTCTGTCTGTGTGTCTCTGTCTGTGTGTCTCTGTCTGCTTGTCTCTGTCTGCGTGTCTCTGTCTGTGTGTCTCTGTCTGTGTGTCTCTGTCTGTCTCTATCTGTGTGTCTCTGTCTGTGTGTCTCTGTCTGTGTGTCTCTGTCTGTCTCTGTGTGTCTCTGTGTGTCTCTGTCTGTGTGTCTCTGTGTGTCTCTGTGTGTGTCTCTGTCTGCGTGTCTCTCTCTCTCTGTGTCTCTGTCTCTGTGTCTCAGTGTGTCTCTGTGTGTACACCAACGCTGTGTGCAAAAAATCCCAGTGGGATGCAAGTCAAACAACAACAACCACAAGAAAACTTAGATTAAAGCCATCAGTCTAACTCCGTACTACAACAAAACAAACAAGTCCAAGCCAAAAAACTTTTCCAAATCACCAAAAAATAAAGCCATAATTGCAACGTAACAGTGATCACAAGGACTGTGACCGAATTTTTACAATAAACTACATAAATAACACGTAACACCAAATCCCTAGAGCCATAGCTGGCTGCATGAGTTACTCCACAACAACAGAAGCATCGGTCGGAGTGTCAAATTTTTCAATGCACCTTGAAGATCAGCACGCTAAATCAAAATACGGATAATACTTTGCAGCGTCAACCGGAGCGAAACATTTTATTTTATTTTACGCCAATGAATAGCAGTGGCAGCTTGGGGTGTACAGCTCCTCTAGAGCAGTTTTGAGAGATCTCATTGGTAGCGATTCAAGTTGCAGTTTATTGGCAATAGCATTCCAGACCCTGGGGGCATCAATAGCAAAGGCCCTTCCTCCAGTTTTTGTACGGCAATAGGGAATGTGAAGCTGGTAAATGAGCGAAGACCTGAGGTCAAATTTGTTCTTTGAAACAGAGAGGAGATCCAGCAGGTAGTCTGCGGATTGTTTTGTAAGCACATCGTGAATAAATAAGATCTGGTGCACAAGCCGTCGAACATTAAGAGATGTTAAGTTTGACCCAATGTAGAGATCACAGTGGTGAGTCCTATATGGGCAGTTCAATGTAAATCTTAAGGCCGAGTGATAGATGGAATCAAGCTTCTTCAGTACAGTACTTGGGGCTGATTTATACATGATGTCACAGTAGTCAAGTAGAGGCAGTATGGCAGCTTTTATCAGTTCCAAACGGAACATTTGGGGGAAGCAGTGCTTGTGTCGATACAGAAAACCAATTTTTATTTTTGTCTTTTTACCAATATAATCAATGTGATCTTCAAAATTCAGTTTTGAATCCAGGATGACCCCAAGATACGTATAGATCTTGACTTGCTCTATTTGACAATTTTTTAAGGAATGTAATTGGGGAAAAATAACTTCCTGCTTTAGTCCTGGTGAGAAGCATAGCACCTTGGTTTTGGAGGTATTCAGGACTAGTTTAAGAGCAACTAGCTGATGTTGTAGTTTGTGGAAATCACCCTGGAGCTTAGCAATCACGTAATCCGGAGAGCAGCCAGCAGCAATCAGTATCAGTCGACCCGTGGCACCTGCTGGGTCTGCCCCGTGACCTCCTGCCAGCGGGCGTTCCACACTTCACGTGGCCTCAGGGTGCACATAGCCTGGCACAAACGTCGTGGTGACGTCACCGCCACTTAGTGGCGAATGGCGGTTGTTGTTGTTGTATCTGTGTGTCTGTAGCTGTCGGAGGGAACCTACCTGGGCTTTGCCAATTTGCCCAATCAAGTTCATCGCAAGTCTGTGAAGAAAGGATTTGAGTTCACACTCATGGTGGTTGGTGAGCCAACAACAACAACTGCCTTAGTCTGGCTCTATGAGCCTCACTGATTAACACTGAACCCTGTGGGAGTCTTAGTCTGACTCTGTGAGCCTCACTGATTAACACTGAACCCTGTGGGAGCCTTAGTCTGGCTCTATGAGCCTCACTGATTAACACTGAACCCTGTGGGAGCCTCAGTCTGGCTCTATGAGCCTCACTGATTAACACTGAACCCTGTGGGAGTCTTAGTCTGACTCTGTGAGTCTCACTGATTAACACTGAACCCTGTGGGAGCCTTAGTCTGGCTCTATGAGCCTCACTGATTAACACTGAACCCTCTGGGAGCCTTAGTCTGGCTCTGTGAGTCTCACTGATTAACACTGAACCCTGTGGGAGCCTTAGTCTGGCTCTATGAGCCTCACTGATTAACACTGAACCCTGTGGGAGTCTTAGTCTGGCTCTGTGAGCCTCACTGATTAACACTGAACCCTGTGGGAGCCTCAGTCTGGCTCTGTGAGCCTCACTGATTAACAGTGAACCCTGTGGGAGCCTTAGTCTGGCTCTGTGAGTCTCACTGATTAACACTGAACCCTGTGGGAGCCTCGGTCTGACTCTGTGAGCCTCACTGATTAACACTGAACCCTGTGGGAGCCTTAGTCTGGCTCTATGAGCCTCACTGATTAACACTGAACTCTGTGGGAGTCTTAGTCTGGCTCTATGAGCCTCACTGATTAACACTGAACCCTGTGGGAGCCTCGGTCTGGCTCTGTGAGTCTCAGTGATTAACACTGAACCCTGTGGGAGCCTTAGTCTGGCTCTGTGAGCCTCACTGATTAACACTGAACCCTGTGGGAGCCTCAGTCTGGCTCTGTGAGTCTCACTGATTAACACTGAACCCTGTGGGAGCCTCAGTCTGGCTCTGTGAGCCTCACTGATTAACACTGAACCCTGTGGGAGCCTCAGTCTGGCTCTGTGAGCCTCATTAATTTATGATGATGTAGATGCTGATGATGGTGATGATGTTGCCTCACTGATTAACACTGACTCTATGAGCCTCACTGATTAACACTGAACCCTGTGGGAGCCTTAGTCTGGCTCTATGAGTCTCACTGATTAACACTGAACCCTGTGGGAGCCTCGGTCTGACTCTGTGAGCCTCACTGATTAACACTGAACCCTGTGGGAGCCTTAGTCTGGCTCTGTGAGCCTCACTGATTAACACTGAACCCTGTGGGAGCCTCGGTCTGACTCTGTGAGTCTCCCTGATTAACACTGAACCCTGTGGGAGCCTTAGTCTGACTCTGTGAGTCTCACTGATTAACACTGAACCCTGTGGGAGCCTTAGTCTGGCTCTGTGAGTCTCACTGATTAACATTGAACCCTGTGGGAGCCTCAGTCTGACTCTGTGAGTCTCCCTGATTAACACTGAACCCTGTGGGAGCCTCAGTCTGGCTCTGTGAGCCTCACTGATTAACACTGAACCCTGTGGGAGCCTCAGTCTGGCTCTGTGAGCCTCATTAATTTATGATGATGTAGATGCTGATGATGGTGATGATGTTGCCTCACTGATTAACACTGACTCTATGAGCCTCACTGATTAACACTGAACCCTGTGGGAGCCTTAGTCTGGCTCTATGAGTCTCACTGATTAACACTGAACCCTGTGGGAGCCTCGGTCTGACTCTGTGAGCCTCACTGATTAACACTGAACCCTGTGGGAGCCTTAGTCTGGCTCTGTGAGCCTCACTGATTAACACTGAACCCTGTGGGAGCCTCGGTCTGACTCTGTGAGTCTCCCTGATTAACACTGAACCCTGTGGGAGCCTTAGTCTGACTCTGTGAGTCTCACTGATTAACACTGAACCCTGTGGGAGCCTTAGTCTGGCTCTGTGAGTCTCACTGATTAACATTGAACCCTGTGGGAGCCTCAGTCTGACTCTGTGAGTCTCCCTGATTAACACTGAACCCTGTGGGAGCCTCAGTCTGACTCTGTGAGTCTCCCTGATTAACACTGAACCCTGTGGGAGTCTTAGTCTGGCTCTATGAGCCTCACTGATTAACACTGAACCCTGTGGGAGCCTCGGTCTGACTCTGTGAGCCTCACTGATTAACACTGAACCCTGTGGGAGCCTTAGTCTGGCTCTATGAGCCTCACTGATTAACACTGAACTCTGTGGGAGTCTTAGTCTGGCTCTATGAGCCTCACTGATTAACACTGAACCCTGTGGGAGCCTCGGTCTGGCTCTGTGAGTCTCAGTGATTAACACTGAACCCTGTGGGAGCCTTAGTCTGGCTCTGTGAGCCTCACTGATTAACACTGAACCCTGTGGGAGCCTCAGTCTGGCTCTGTGAGTCTCACTGATTAACACTGAACCCTGTGGGAGCCTCAGTCTGGCTCTGTGAGCCTCACTGATTAACACTGAACCCTGTGGGAGCCTCAGTCTGGCTCTGTGAGCCTCATTAATTTATGATGATGTAGATGCTGATGATGGTGATGATGTTGCCTCACTGATTAACACTGACTCTATGAGCCTCACTGATTAACACTGAACCCTGTGGGAGCCTTAGTCTGGCTCTATGAGTCTCACTGATTAACACTGAACCCTGTGGGAGCCTCGGTCTGACTCTGTGAGCCTCACTGATTAACACTGAACCCTGTGGGAGCCTTAGTCTGGCTCTGTGAGACTCACTGATTAACACTGAACCCTGTGGGAGCCTCGGTCTGACTCTGTGTGTCTCCCTGATTAACACTGAACCCTGTGGGAGCCTTAGTCTGACTCTGTGAGTCTCACTGATTAACACTGAACCCTGTGGGAGCCTTAGTCTGGCTCTGTGAGTCTCACTGATTAACATTGAACCCTGTGGGAGCCTCAGTCTGACTCTGTGAGTCTCCCTGATTAACACTGAACCCTGTGGGAGCCTCAGTCTGACTCTGTGAGTCTCCCTGATTAACACTGAACCCTGTGGGAGTCTTAGTCTGGCTCTATGAGCCTCACTGATTAACACTGAACCCTGTGGGAGCCTCGGTCTGGCTCTGTGAGTCTCAGTGATTAACACTGAACCCTGTGGGAGCCTTAGTCTGGCTCTGTGAGCCTCACTGATTAACACTGAACCCTGTGGGAGCCTTAGTCTGACTCTATGAGCCTCACTGATTAACACTGAACCCTGTGGGAGCCTTAGTCTGGCTCTATGAGTCTCACTGATTAACACTGAACCCTGTGGGAGCCTCAGTCTGGCTCTGTGAGTCTCACTGATTAACACTGAACCCTGTGGGAGCCTTAGTCTGGCTCTGTGAGTCTCACTGATTAACATTGAACCCTGTGGGAGCCTCAGTCTGACTCTGTGAGTCTCCCTGATTAACACTGAACCCTGTGGGAGCCTCAGTCTGACTCTGTGAGTCTCCCTGATTAACACTGAACCCTGTGGGAGCCTTAGTCTGACTCTGTGAGTCTCACTGATTAACACTGAACCCTGTGGGAGCCTTAGTCTGGCTCTGTGAGCCTCACTGATTAACACTGAACCCTGTGGGAGTCTTAGTCTGGCTCTGTGAGCCTCACTGATTAACACTGAACCCTGTGGGAGCCTTAGTCTGGCTCTATGAGCCTCACTGATTAACACTGAACCCTGTGGGAGCCTCGGTCTGACTCTGTGAGTCTCCCTGATTAACACTGAACCCTGTGGGAGCCTTAGTCTGACTCTGTGAGTCTCACTGATTAACACTGAACCCTGTGGGAGCCTTAGTCTGGCTCTATGAGCCTCACTGATTAACACTGAACCCTGTGGGAGCCTCGGTCTGACTCTGTGAGTCTCCCTGATTAACACTGAACCCTGTGGGAGCCTTAGTCTGACTCTGTGAGTCTCACTGATTAACACTGAACCCTGTGGGAGCCTTAGTCTGGCTCTGTGAGTCTCACTGATTAACATTGAACCCTGTGGGAGCCTCAGTCTGACTCTGTGAGTCTCCCTGATTAACACTGAACCCTGTGGGAGCCTCAGTCTGACTCTGTGAGTCTCCCTGATTAACACTGAACCCTGTGGGAGCCTTAGTCTGACTCTGTGAGTCTCACTGATTAACACTGAACCCTGTGGGAGCCTTAGTCTGGCTCTGTGAGCCTCACTGATTAACACTGAACCCTGTGGGAGTCTTAGTCTGGCTCTGTGAGCCTCACTGATTAACACTGAACCCTGTGGGAGCCTTAGTCTGGCTCTATGAGCCTCACTGATTAACACTGAACCCTGTGGGAGCCTTAGTCTGGCTCTGTGAGTCTCACTGATTAACACTGAACCCTGTGGGAGCCTTAGTCTGGCTCTGTGAGTCTCACTGATTAACACTGAACCCTGTGGGAGCCTTAGTCTGGCTCTGTGAGTCTCACTGATTAATACTGGACCCTGTGGGAGCCTTAGTCTGGCTCTATGAGTCGCACTGATTAACACTGAACCATGTGGGAGCCTTAGTCTGGCTCTGTGAGCCTCACTGATTAACACTGAACCCTGTGGGAGCCTCGGTCTGGCTCTGTGAGTCTCACTGATTAACACTGAACCCTGTGGGAGCCTTAGTCTGGCTCTGTGAGCCTCACTGATTAACACTGAACCCTGTGGGAGCCTTAGTCTGACTCTGTGAGTCTCACTGATTAACACTGAACCCTGTGGGAGCCTTAGTCTGGCTCTGTGAGTCTCCCTGATTAACACTGAACCCTGTGGGAGCCTTAGTCTGACTCTGTGAGTCTCCCTGACTAACACTGCACCCTGTGGGAGCCTTAGTCTGACTCTGTGAGCCTCACTGATTAACACTGAACCGTGTGGGAGCCTTAGTCTGGCTCTGTGAGTCTCACTGATTAACACTGAACCCTGTGGGAGCCTTAGTCTGGCTCTGTGAGTCTCACTGATTAACACTGAACCCTGTGGGAGCCTTAGTCTGGCTCTATGAGTCTCAGTGATTAACACTGAACCCTGTGGGAGCCTTAGTCTGGCTCTGTGAGTCTCACTGATTAACACTGAACCCTGTGGGAGCCTTAGTCTGGCTCTGTGAGCCTCACTGATTAACACTGAACCCTGTGGGAGCCTCAGTCTGGCTCTGTGAGTCTCACTGATTAACACTGAACCCTGTGGGAGCCTTAGTCTGGCTCTGTGAGTCTCACTGATTAACACTGAACCCTGTGGGAGCCTTAGTCTGGCTCTGTGAGTCTCACTGATTAACACTGAACCCTGTGGGAGCCTCAGTCTGGCTCTGTGAGCCTCACTGATTAACACTGAACCCTGTGGGAGCCTCAGTCTGGCTCTGTGAGTCTCACTGATTAACACTGAACCCTGTGGGAGCCTCAGTCTGACTCTGTGAGTCTCACTGATTAACACTGAACCCTGTGGGAGCCTTAGTCTGGCTCTGTGAGTCTCACTGATTAACACTGAACCCTGTGGGAGCCTCAGTCTGACTCTATGAGCCTCACTGATTAACACTGAACCCTGTGGGAGCCTTGGTCTGGCTCTATGAGCCTCACTGATTAACACTGAACCCTGTGGGAGCCTCAGTCTGGCTCTGTGAGCCTCACTGATTAACATTGAACCCTGTGGGAGCCTCAGTCTGGCTCTGTGAGCCTCACTGATTAACACTGAACCCTGTGGGAGCCTTAGTCTGGCTCTATGAGCCTCACTGATTAACACTGAACCCTGTGGGAGCCTTAGTCTGTCTCTGTGAGCCTCACTGATTAACACTGAACCCTGTGGGAGCCTTAGTCTGGCTCTGTGAGTCTCACTGATTAACACTGAACCCTGTGGGAGCCTTAGTCTGGCTCTGTGAGTCTCAGTGATTAACACTGAACCCTGTGGGAGCCTCGGTCTGGCTCTATGAGCCTCACTGATTAACACTGAACCCTGTGGGAGCCTCAGTCTGGCTCTGTGAGCCTCACTGATTAACACTGAACCCTGTGGGAGCCTCAGTCTGGCTCTGTGAGCCTCACTGATTAACACTGAACCCTGTGGGAGCCTCAGTCTGGCTCTGTGAGCCTCACTGATTAACACTGAACCCTGTGGGAGCCTCAGTCTGGCTCTGTGAGCCTCATGAATGTATGATGATGTAGATGCTGATGATGGTGATGATGTTGTTGACGATGTAGGTGAGTCTGGCCTGGGCAAGTCGACTCTCATCGACAGCCTCTTCCTCACTGACCTCTACCCAGAGAGACTCATCCTAGGGGCGGCCGGTGAGAGAAGTCCTCACGGGTACCACGTGGGTGTGAGGGTCACACACAGCGTGGTGGGTGTAGTGGGTGGGTGTAGTGGGTGGGTGTAGTGGGTGGGTGTGGTGGGTAGGTGTAGTGGGTGGGTGTGAGGGTCACACACAGCGTGGTGGGTGTAGTGGGTGGGTGTGAGGGTCACACACAGCGTGGTGGGTGTAGTGGGTGGGTGTAGTGGGTGGGTGTCAGGGACACACACAGCGTGGTGGGTGTAGTGGGTGGGTGTAGTGGGTGGGTGTCAGGGTCACACACAGCGTGGTGGGTATAGTGGGTGGGTGTAGTGGGTGGGTGTGGTGGGTAGGTGTAGTGGGTGGGTGTGAGGGTCACACACAGCGTGGTGGGTGTAGTGGGTGGGTGTAGTGGGTGGGTGTAGTGGGTGGGTGTGAGGGTCACACACAGCGTGGTGGGTGTAGTGGGTGGGTGTAGTGGGTGGGTGTAGTGGGTGGGTGTGGTGGGTAGGTGTAGTGGGTGGGTGTGAGGGTCACACACAGCGTGGTGGGTGTAGTGGGTGGGTGTAGTGGGTGGGTGTGGTGGGTGGGTGTGGTGGGTAGGTGTAGTGGGTGGGTGTGAGGGTCACACACAGCGTGGTGGGTGTAGTGGGTGGGTGTAGTGGGTGGGTGTAGTGGGTGGGTGTGGTGGGTAGGTGTAGTGGGTGGGTGTGAGGGTCACACACAGCGTGGTGGGTGTAGTGGGTGGGTGTGAGGGTCACACACAGCGTGGTGGGTGTAGTGGGTGGGTGTAGTGGGTGGGTGTGGTGGGTGGGTGTAGTGGGTAGGTGTAGTGGGTGGGTGTGAGGGTCACACACAGCGTGGTGGGTGTAGTGGGTGGGTGTGAGGGTCACACACAGCGTGGTGGGTGTAGTGGGTGGGTGTAGTGGGTGGGTGTCAGGGACACACACAGCGTGGTGGGTGTAGTGGGTGGGTGTAGTGGGTGGGTGTCAGGGTCACACACAGCGTGGTGGGTATAGTGGGTGGGTGTAGTGGGTGGGTGTGGTGGGTAGGTGTAGTGGGTGGGTGTGAGGGTCACACACAGCGTGGTGGGTGTAGTGGGTGGGTGTAGTGGGTGGGTGTAGTGGGTGGGTGTGAGGGTCACACACAGCGTGGTGGGTGTAGTGGGTGGGTGTAGTGGGTGGGTGTAGTGGGTGGGTGTGGTGGGTAGGTGTAGTGGGTGGGTGTGAGGGTCACACACAGCGTGGTGGGTGTAGTGGGTGGGTGTAGTGGGTGGGTGTGGTGGGAGGGTGTGGTGGGTAGGTGTAGTGGGTGGGTGTGAGGGTCACACACAGCGTGGTGGGTGTAGTGGGTGGGTGTAGTGGGTGGGTGTAGTGGGTGGGTGTGGTGGGTAGGTGTAGTGGGTGGGTGTGAGGGTCACACACAGCGTGGTGGGTGTAGTGGGTGGGTGTGAGGGTCACACACAGCGTGGTGGGTGTAGTGGGTGGGTGTAGTGGGTGGGTGTGGTGGGTGGGTGTAGTGGGTAGGTGTAGTGGGTGGGTGTGAGGGTCACACACAGCGTGGTGGGTGTAGTGGGTGGGTGTAGTGGGTGGGTGTAGTGGGTGGGTGTGGTGGGTAGGTGTAGTGGGTGGGTGTGGTGGGTAGGTGTAGTGGGTGGGTGTGAGGGTCACACACAGCGTGGTGGGTGTAGTGGGTGGGTGTGAGGGTCACACACAGCGTGGTGGGTGTAGTGGGTGGGTGTAGTGGGTGGGTGTGGTGGGTGGGTGTGGTGGGTAGGTGTAGTGGGTGGGTGTGAGGGTCACACACAGCGTGGTGGGTGTAGTGGGTGGGTGTAGTGGGTGGGTGTGGTGGGTAGGTGTAGTGGGTGGGTGTGAGGGTCACACACAGCGTGGTGGGTGTAGTGGGTGGGTGTAGTGGGTGGGTGTAGTGGGTGGGTGTGGTGGGTAGGTGTAGTGGGTGGGTGTGAGGGTCACACACAGCGTGGTGGGTGTAGTGGGTGGGTGTCAGGGACACACACAGCGTGGTGGGTGTAGTGGGTGGGTGTAGTGGGTGGGTGTCGTGGGTGGGTGTCAGGGTCACACACAGCGTGGTGGGTGTAGTGGGTGGGTGTAGTGGGGGGGTGTCAGGGTCACACACAGCGTGGTGGGTATAGTGGGTGGGTGTAGTGGATGGGTGTAGTGGGTGGGTGTCAGGGGCACACACAGCGTGGTGGGTATAGTGGGTGGGTGTAGTGGGTGGGTGTAGTGGGTAGGTGTCAGGGTCACACACAGCGTGGTGGGTATAGTGGGTGGGTGTAGTGGGTGGGTGTAGTGGGTGGGTGTCAGGGACACACACAGCGTGTTGGGTGTAGTGGGTGGGTGTCAGGGTCACACACAGCGTGGTGGGTGTAGTGGGTGGGTGTAGTGGGTGGGTGTCAGGGTCACACACAGCGTGGTGGGTGTAGTGGGTGGGTGTCAGGGACACACACAGCGTGGTGGGTGTAGTGGGTGGGTGTAGTGGGTGGGTGTAGTGAGTGGGTGTAGTGGGTAGGTGTAGTGGGTTGATGGGTGAGCCGGTGAGTGAAGGAGCAGGTGGGTGAATGGGTGAGTGAGCGGTTGGGTGAGTAAGTGAGCGGGTGAGTGAGCGGTTTGGTAAGTGAGCAGGTGAGTGAGTAAGTGAGCGGGTGAGTGAGTGAGCGGCTGAGTGAATGGGTGAGTGAGCGGGTGAGTGAGCGGTTAGTTGAGTGAGCGGTGGGGTGAGCGAGCAGGTGAGTGAGTGAGCGGGTGAGTGAGCGGTGTGTGTGTGTGTGGGTGACGAGTGGGTGAGCGTGTGTGTGAGCGGTGTGTGTGTGTGGGTGAGCGTATGGTTGAACGGTGTGTGTGTGCATGTGTGTGTGCGTGTGAGTGTGTGGGTGTGTGGGTGCGTGGGTGTGTGTGTGTGGGTGTGTGTGTGTGTGCGTGTGAGTGTGTGGGTGTGTGGGTGCGTGGGTGTGTGTGTGTGGGTGTGTGTGTGTGTGTGCGTGTGAGTGTGTGGGTGTGTGGGTGCGTGGGTGTGTGTGTGTGGGTGTGTGTGTGGGTGTATTTGGGTGTGTGTGTGTGGGGGTGTGGGTGCGTGGGTGTGTGTGTGTGGGGGTGTGTGTGTGTCAGAGCGGCTGAATCGCACCGTAGCGATCGAGGCCACAACGGTGGACATTGAGGAGCGGGGGGTGAAGCTTCGCCTCACCGTGGTGGACACTCCGGGATACGGAGACTCACTCGACAGCTCCTCCTGGTGCGCTCACCACTCACTCACCACTCACTCGCTCACCCACCCACTCACTCACCCACCCACTCACTCACCCCCCCAATCACCCACTCACCCACCCACTCACTCACTCACCAACCCACTCACTCACCACTCACCCACCCACTCACCCACCCACTCTCTCACCCACCCACCCACTCACTCACTGACCCACCCACTCACTCACCCACCCACCCACTCACTCACTCACTCACCCACCCACTCACTCACCCACTCACTCACTCACCCACTCACTCACTCACTCACCCACCCACTCACCCACTCACTCACCCACCCACCCACCCACTCACCCACCCACTCACCCACCCACCCACTCACTCACTCACCCACCCACTCATTCACTCACCCACCCACCCACTCACCCACTCACTCACCCACCCACCCACCCACTCACTCACTTACTCACCCACCCTCTCACTCACTCACTCACCCACTTACTCACCCACCCTCTCACTCACTCACTCACCCACTCACTCACTCACCCACTCACTCACTCACCCACTCACTCACCCACTCACCCACCCACTCACCCACTCACTCACCCAGTCACTCACCCACTCACTCACCCACTCACTCACCCAACCTCTCACTCACCCACTCACCCACTCACTCACTCACTCACCCACCCACTCACCCACCCACTCACTCACTCACTCACCCACCCTCTCACTCACCCACCCACTCACCCACCCACTCACTCACCCACCCTCTCACTCACCCACTCACCCACTCACTCACTCACTCACCCACCCACTCACCCTCTCACTCACCCACCCACTCACCCTCTCACTCACTCACCCACCCACTCACTTACTCACCCACCCACTCACTCACCCACCCACCCACCCACCCACTCACCCACCCACCCACTCACTCACTCACTCACCCACCCACTCACTCACCCACTCACTCACCCACCCACTCACCCACTCACTCGCCCACCTACCCACTCACTCACTTACTCACCCACCCTCTCACTCACTCACTCACCCACTCACTCACTCACCCACTCACTCACTCACCCACTCACCCACACACTCACTCACTCACTCACCCACTCACCCACTCACTCACCCACTCACTTACCCAGTCACTCACCCACTCACTCACCCACTCACTCACCCACCCTCTCACTCACCCACTCACTCACTCACTCACCCACTCACTCACTCACTCACCCACCCACCCACCCACTCACTCACTCACTCACCCACCCACTCACTCACCCACTCACTCACCCACCCACTCACCCACTCACTCACCCGTCCACCCACTCACTCACTTACTCACCCACCCTCTCACTCACTCACTCACCCACTCACTCACTCACCCACTCACCCACACACTCACTCACTCACCCACTCACCCACTCACTCACTCACTCACCCAGTCACTCACCCACTCACTCACCCACTCACTCACCCACCCTCTCACTCACTCACTCACTCGCTCACCCACTCACCCACTCACCCTCTCACTCACCCACCCACTGACTCACTCACCCACCCTCTCACTCACCCACCCACTGACTCACTCACCCACCCTCTCACTCACCCTCCCACTCACTCACCCACCCTCTCACTCACCCACTCACTCACCCACTCACCCACTCACCCTCTCACTCACCCACCCACTGACTCACTTACCCACCGTCTCACTCACCCTCCCACTCACTCACCCACCCTCTCACTCACCCTCCCACTCACTCACTCACCCACCCACTCACTCACCACTCACTCACCCACTCACCCTCCCACTTACTCACCCACCCACTCACTCACCACTCACTCACCCACTCACCCACCCACTCACCACCCACTCACCCACCCACTCACCACCCACTCACCCAACCACTCACTCATTCACTCACCCACTCACTCACCCACTCACTCACCCACTCACCCTCCCACTCACCACCCACTCACTCACCCACTCACCCACCCACTCACTCACCCACCCACTCACTCACCCACTGACTCACCCACGCACCCACCCACTCACCCACCCACTGACTCACCCACTCACCCACTCACTCACCACTCACTCACTCACCTACTCACCCACTCACTCACCCACTCACCCACCCACTGACTCACCCACCCAACCACCCACTCACCCACTCACTGACTCACCCACTCACCCACTCACTCACCACTCACTCACTCACCCACCCACTCACTCACCCACTCACTCACTCACCCACCCACCCACCCACTCACCACTCACCCACCCACCCACCCTCTCACCCACCCACTCACTCACCACTCACTCACCCACTCACTCACCACCCACCCTGTCACAAGGTTTGGCTACTTCCTCCGCTATCTGAGGTTTTGCAATCGCCACTCACACACTGTGGGTATGGTGATCGTTGTTGTGTGGAGGTTATTGTTGTGGTTGTTTTTGTTATGATTGTTATGATTGCTGTTATGATTGTTGTTGTTGTGGTTATGATTGTTGTGGTTGTAATTGTTGTTGTGGTTGTTGTTGTTGTGTCCCCAGCTTCGAGTCGATCCTGAGCTACATCGACGCGCAGTATGAGCGCTACCTGCGGGACGAGAGCGGCCTGAACCGCAGGCACCTCGTGGACTACAGAGTGCACTGCTGCTTCTACTTTGTATCACCACACGGACACGGGTGACTCTTTACACACTACTCACGTGTGTGTGTGTGTGTGTAGGTGTGTGTGTGTAGTGTGTAGGTGTGTGTGTAGTTGTGTGTGTAGTGTGTGTAGTGTGTGTGTGGTGTGTGTAGGGTGTGTGTAGGTGTGTGTGTAGTTGTGTGTGTAGTGTGTGTAGTGTGTGTGTGTAGTGTGTGTGTAGTGTGTGTGTGTAGTGTGTGTGTGTAGTGTGTCTGTGTGTGTGTCTCGTGGACTACAGAGTGCACTGCTGCTTCTACTTTGTATCACCACACGGACACGGGTGACTACTCACGTGTGTGTGTAGTGTGTGTGTGTAGTGTGTGTAGTGTGTGTGTGTAGTGTGTGTGTGTAGTGTGTGTAGTGTGTGTGTAGTGTGTGTGTGTGTCTCGTGGACTACAGAGTGCACTGCTGCTTCTACTTTGTATCACCACACGGACACGGGTGACTACTCACGTGTGTGTGTAGTGTGTGTGTGTAGTGTGTATGTGTAGTGTGTGTGTGTGTGTAGTGTGTGTGTGTAGGTGTGTGTAGTGTGTGTGTGTAGTGTGTGTAGTGTGTGTAGTGTGTGTGTAGTGTGTGTAGTGTGTGTGTGTAGTGTGTGTGTAGTGTGTAGGTGTGTGTGTAGTGTGTGTGTAGTGTGTGTAGTGTGTGTGTGTAGTGTGTGTGTAGTGTGTGTAGTGTGTGTGTGTGTGTAGTGTGTGTAGTGTGTGTAGTGTGTGTGTAGTGTGTGTAGTGTGTGTGTGTAGTGTGTGTGTAGTGTGTAGGTGTGTGTGTAGTGTGTGTGTGTAGTGTGTGTGTAGTGTGTGTGTGTAGTGTGTGTAGTGTGTGTGTGTAGTGTGTGTAGTGTGTGTAGTGTGTGTGTGTGTAGTGTGTAGTGTGTGTAGTGTGTGTGTGTGTGTGTAGTGTGTGTAGTGTGTGTGTGTAGTGTGTGTGTAGTGTGTGTGTGTAGTGTGTGTAGTGTGTGTGTGTAGTGTGTGTGTGTAGTGTGTGTGTGTAGTGTGTGTAGTGTGTGTGTGTGTAGTGTGTGTAGTGTGTGTAGTGTGTGTGTAGTGTGTGTAGTGTGTGTGTGTAGTGTGTGTGTAGTGTGTAGGTGTGTGTGTAGTTGTGTGTGTAGTGTGTGTAGTGTGTGTGTGTAGTGTGTGTGTAGTGTGTGTAGTGTGTGTGTGTGTGTAGTGTGTGTAGTGTGTGTTGTGTGTGTGTAGTGTGTGTAGTGTGTGTGTGTAGTGTGTGTGTAGTGTGTAGGTGTGTGTGTAGTGTGTGTGTGTAGTGTGTGTGTAGTGTGTGTGTGTAGTGTGTGTAGTGTGTGTGTGTAGTGTGTGTAGTGTGTGTAGTGTGTGTGTGTGTAGTGTGTAGTGTGTGTAGTGTGTGTGTGTGTGTGTAGTGTGTGTAGTGTGTGTGTGTAGTGTGTGTGTAGTGTGTGTGTAGTGTGTGTAGTGTGTGTGTGTAGTGTGTGTGTAGTGTGTGTGTGTAGTGTGTGTGTGTCTCGTGGACTACAGAGTGCACTGCTGCTTCTACTTTGTATCACCACACGGACACGGGTGACTCTTTACACACTACTCACGTGTGTGTGTGTAGTGTGTGTGTGTAGTGTGTGTGTGTAGTGTGTGTGTGTAGTGTGTGTGTGTAGTGTGTGTGTGTAGTGTGTGTGTAGTGTGTGTGTGTAGGTGTGTGTAGGTGTGTGTAGTGTGTGTGTGTAGTGTGTGTGTGTAGGTGTGTGTGTAGTGTGTGTGTGTAGGTGTGTGTAGGTGTGTGTGTAGTGTGTGTAGTGTGTGTGTGTGTAGTGTGTGTGTGTAGTGTGTGTGTGTAGTGTGTGTGTAGTGTGTGTGTGTAGTGTGTGTGTAGTGTGTGTGTGTAGTGTGTGTAGTGTGTGTGTGTGTAGTGTGTGTGTGTAGTGTGTGTGTGTAGTGTGTGTGTAGTGTGTGTGTAGTGTGTGTGTAGTGTGTGTGTGTAGTGTGTGTAGTGTGTGTGTAGGTGTGTGTAGTGTGTGTGTGTGTAGTGTGTGTGTGTCTCGTGGACTACAGAGTGCACTGCTGCTTCTACTTTGTATCACCACACGGACACGGGTGACTCTTTACACACTACTCACGTGTGTGTATGTGTGTAGTGTGTGTAGTGTGTGTGTGTAGTGTGTGTGTGTAGGTGTGTGTGTAGTGTGTGTGTAGTGTGTGTGTGTTGAGGTGTGTGTGTAGTGTGTGTGTAGGTGTGTGTGTGTGTAGGTGTGTGTGTGTAGTGTGTGTGTGTGTAGTGTGTGTGTGTAGTGTGTGTGTAGTGTGTGTGTGTAGTGTGTGTGTAGTGTGTGTGTGTGTGTAGTGTGTGTGTAGTGTGTGTGTAGTGTGTGTGTGTAGGTGTGTGTGTAGTGTGTGTGTGTAGTGTGTGTGTAGTGTGTGTGTGTAGTGTGTGTGTAGTGTGTGTGTGTAGTGTGTGTAGTGTGTGTGTGTAGTGTGTGTAGTGTGTGTGTAGTGTGTGTGTGTCTCGTGGACTACAGAGTGCACTGCTGCTTCTACTTTGTATCACCACACGGACACGGGTGACTACTCACGTGTGTGTGTAGTGTGTGTGTGTAGTGTGTATGTGTAGTGTGTGTGTGTGTGTAGTGTGTGTGTGTAGGTGTGTGTAGTGTGTGTGTGTGTAGTGTGTGTAGTGTGTGTAGTGTGTGTGTAGTGTGTGTAGTGTGTGTGTGTAGTGTGTGTGTAGTGTGTAGGTGTGTGTGTAGTTGTGTGTGTAGTGTGTGTAGTGTGTGTGTGTAGTGTGTGTGTAGTGTGTGTAGTGTGTGTGTGTGTGTAGTGTGTGTAGTGTGTGTAGTGTGTGTGTAGTGTGTGTAGTGTGTGTGTGTAGTGTGTGTGTAGTGTGTAGGTGTGTGTGTAGTGTGTGTGTGTAGTGTGTGTGTAGTGTGTGTGTGTAGTGTGTGTAGTGTGTGTGTGTAGTGTGTGTAGTGTGTGTAGTGTGTGTGTGTGTAGTGTGTAGTGTGTGTAGTGTGTGTGTGTGTGTGTAGTGTGTGTAGTGTGTGTGTGTAGTGTGTGTGTAGTGTGTGTGTGTAGTGTGTGTAGTGTGTGTGTGTAGTGTGTGTGTAGTGTGTGTGTGTAGTGTGTGTGTGTCTCGTGGACTACAGAGTGCACTGCTGCTTCTACTTTGTATCACCACACGGACACGGGTGACTCTTTACACACTACTCACGTGTGTGTGTGTAGTGTGTGTGTGTAGTGTGTGTGTGTAGTGTGTGTGTGTAGTGTGTGTGTGTAGTGTGTGTGTGTAGTGTGTGTGTAGTGTGTGTGTGTAGGTGTGTGTAGGTGTGTGTAGTGTGTGTGTGTAGTGTGTGTGTGTAGGTGTGTGTGTAGTGTGTGTGTGTAGGTGTGTGTAGGTGTGTGTGTAGTGTGTGTAGTGTGTGTGTGTGTAGTGTGTGTGTGTAGTGTGTGTGTGTAGTGTGTGTGTAGTGTGTGTGTGTAGTGTGTGTGTAGTGTGTGTGTGTAGTGTGTGTAGTGTGTGTGTGTGTAGTGTGTGTGTGTAGTGTGTGTGTGTAGTGTGTGTGTAGTGTGTGTGTAGTGTGTGTGTAGTGTGTGTGTGTAGTGTGTGTAGTGTGTGTGTAGGTGTGTGTAGTGTGTGTGTGTGTAGTGTGTGTGTGTCTCGTGGACTACAGAGTGCACTGCTGCTTCTACTTTGTATCACCACACGGACACGGGTGACTCTTTACACACTACTCACGTGTGTGTATGTGTGTAGTGTGTGTAGTGTGTGTGTGTAGTGTGTGTGTGTAGGTGTGTGTGTAGTGTGTGTGTAGTGTGTGTGTGTTGAGGTGTGTGTGTAGTGTGTGTGTAGGTGTGTGTGTGTGTAGGTGTGTGTGTGTAGTGTGTGTGTGTGTAGTGTGTGTGTGTAGTGTGTGTGTAGTGTGTGTGTGTAGTGTGTGTGTAGTGTGTGTGTGTGTGTGGTGTGTGTGTAGTGTGTGTGTAGTGTGTGTGTGTAGGTGTGTGTGTAGTGTGTGTGTGTAGTGTGTGTGTAGTGTGTGTGTGTAGTGTGTGTGTAGTGTGTGTGTGTAGTGTGTGTGTAGTGTGTGTGTAGTGTGTGTGTGTGTGTAGGTGTGTGTGTAGTGTGTGTGTGTCGGTGTGTGTGTGTAGTGTGTGTGTGTAGTGTGTGTGTGTGTAGTGTGTGTGTGTAGTGTGTGTAGTGTGTGTGTAGTGTGTGTAGTGTGTGTGTGTAGTGTGTGTGTGTAGTGTGTGTGTAGGTGTGTGTGTAGTGTGTGTGTGTAGTGTGTGTGTAGTGTGTGTGTAGTGTGTGTGTGTAGGTGTGTGTGTAGTGTGTGTGTGTAGTGTGTGTGTAGTGTGTGTGCGTAGTGTGTGTGTAGTGTGTGTGTAGTGTGTGTGTGTAGTGTGTGTGTAGTGTGTGTGTGTAGTGTGTGTAGTGTGTGTGTAGTGTGTGTGTAGTGTGTGTAGTGTGTGTGTGTAGTGTGTGTGTAGGTGTGTGTGTAGTGTGTGTGTGTAGTGTGTGTAGTGTGTGTGTAGTGTGTGTAGTGTGTGTGTGTAGTGTGTGTGTAGGTGTGTGTGTAGTGTGTGTGTGTAGTGTGTGTGTAGTGTGTGTGTAGTGTGTGTGTAGTGTGTGTGTGTAGGTGTGTGTGTAGTGTGTGTGTGTGTAGTGTGTGTGTGTAGTGTGTGTAGTGTGTGTGTGTAGTGTGTGTGTGTAGTGTGTGTGTGTAGTGTGTGTAGTGTGTGTGTAGTGTGTGTGTGTAGTGTGTGTGTGTAGTGTGTGTAGTGTGTGTGTGTAGTGTGTGTGTGTAGTGTGTGTAGTGTGTGTGTAGTGTGTGTGTGTAGTGTGTGTGTGTAGTGTGTGTGTGTGTGTAGTGTGTGTGTGTAGTGTGTGTGTGTGTAGTGTGTGTGTGTAGTGTGTGTAGTGTGTGTGTGTAGTGTGTGTGTGTAGTGTGTGTGTGTAGTGTGTGTAGTGTGTGTGTAGTGTGTGTGTGTAGTGTGTGTGTGTAGTGTGTGTAGTGTGTGTGTGTAGTGTGTGTAGTGTGTGTGTAGTGTGTGTGTGTAGTGTGTGTGTGTAGTGTGTGTGTGTAGGTGTGTGTGTGTGTAGTGTGTAGGTGTGTGTGTAGTGTGTGTAGTGTGTGTGTAGTGTGTGTGTGTAGTGTGTGTGTAGTGTGTGTGTGTGTGTAGTGTGTGTAGTGTGTGTGTGTAGTGTGTGTGTAGTGTGTAGGTGTGTGTAGTGTGTGTGTGTGTAGTGTGTGTAGTGTGTGTAGTGTGTGTGTAGTGTGTGTGTGTAGGTGTGTGTGTGTAGTGTGTGTGTAGTGTGTGTGTGTGTGTAGTGTGTGTAGTGTGTGTGTGTGTAGTGTGTGTGTGTAGTGTGTGTGTGTAGTGTGTGTAGTGTGTGTGTGTAGTGTGTGTGTGTAGTGTGTGTGTAGTGTGTGTGTGTAGTGTGTGTGTGTAGTGTGTGTGTGTAGTGTGTGTGTGTAGTTTGTGTGTAGTGTGTGTGTGTGTGTAGTGTGTGTGTGTGTAGTGTGTGTAGTGTGTGTGTGTAGTGTGTGTGTGTAGTGTGTGTGTGTAGTGTGTGTAGTGTGTGTGTGTAGTGTGTGTGTGTAGTGTGTGTGTAGTGTGTGTGTGTAGTGTGTGTGTGTAGTGTGTGTAGTGTGTGTGTGTAGTGTGTGTGTGTAGTGTGTGTGTGTAGTGTGTGTGTGTAGTGTGTGTAGTGTGTGTGTAGTGTGTAGTGTGTGTAGTGTGTGTAGTGTGTGTGTGTGTAGTGTGTGTGTGTGTAGTGTGTGTAGTGTGTGTAGTGTGTGTGTAGGTGTGTGTAGTGTGTGTGTGTAGTGTGTGTGTGTAGGTGTGTGTGTAGTGTGTGTGTAGTGTGTGTAGTGTTTGTAGTGTGTGTGTAGTGTGTGTAGGTGTGTGTGTAGTGTGTGTGTAGTGTGTGTGTAGTGTGTGTAGTGTGTGTGTGTAGGTGTGTGTGTAGTGTGTGTGTAGTGTGTGTGTAGTGTGTGTAGTGTGTGTGTAGTGTGTGTGTGTAGTGTGTGTAGTGTGTGTGTGTGTAGTGTGTGTGTAGTGTGTGTGTGTAGTGTGTGTAGTGTGTGTAGTGTGTGTGTAGTGTGTGTGTAGTGTGTGTGTGTAGTGTGTGTGTGTAGTGTGTGTGTGTAGTGTGTGTAGTGTGTGTGTGTGTAGTGTGTGTGTAGGTGTGTGTGTGTGTAGTGTGTGTGTGTAGGTGTGTGTAGGTGTGTGTGTGTAGTGTGTGTGTGTAGTGTGTGTGTAGTGTGTGTGTGTCTCGTGGACTACAGAGTGCACTGCTGCTTCTACTTCGTGTCACCACACAAACACGGGTGACTACTCACGTGTGTGTAGTGTGTGTGTAGTGTGTAGGTGTGTGTGTATGTGTGTGTGTGTAGTGTGTGTGTAGTGTGTGTGTGTGTAGTGTGTGTGTAGTGTGTAGGTGTGTGTGTATGTGTGTGTGTGTAGTGTGTGTGTAGTGTGTGTGTGTGTAGTGTGTGTGTGTAGGTGTGTGTGTAGTGTGTGTGTGTAGGTGTGTGTGTGTAGTGTGGTCAAGGCCTATGACCTGGTCAAGGCCTATGATACCATCAGTAGGCCTGGGCTCTGGTTCGTTCTTCGTGCTTTTGGAGTACCTGACCCTCTGCTCACGATCATTAAGGACCTTCATGATGGTGAGCGGGCCCGGGTAAAACTACGTGGCCGGGAGTCAGAGCCATTCCCTGTACACCTTGGGGTGCGACAGGGATGTCCTCTGGCTCCCACATTATTTAACATCTATTTTGACCACGTAGTTCGTGAAGCCTTCAATAGCTGTACCGGGGGAATCTCCATATGGTACAGATATAATGGGAGGCTAATCGATGCCCGGGTGCGGTCAAGGGATGGCTCCCTATTGCTCAACCACGTTATGTATGCTGATGACTTGGTAATAGCTGCTCAGTCAGAGGAGGAGTTGGAGACGCTGCTGCTGAGACTGGAGCGTGCCACTAAGAGGTGGGGCCTTACCATCAGCCCCACCAAAACTAAGCACCTGCCTGGGTATTTTATACCATCGGACACTCCACCCCCACAACTCCCAATCCGTGATGGGGCAGTTGTGGAAAGAGTGGAGAGTTTCCCATACTGTAGGTGTGTGTTCGTGGGTGTACGTGTGTAGGTGTGTGTAGGTGTGTGTGTGTGTGTAGGTGTGTGTGTAGGTGAGTAGGTGTGTGTGTGTGTGTACGTGTGTAGGTGTGTGTGTGTGTGTGTACGTGTGTAGGTGTCTGGGATGTTGAGTTCCTCAAAGCTCTGAGCTGCAAAGTGATGATGGTGGTGATGATGGTGGTGGTAATGGTGGTGGTGGTGGTGATGATGGTGGTGATGGTAATGGTGGTGGTGGTTGTGATGATCAGGTTAAAGCTACTGGATGTAGAGTTTCTCAAGGCTCTCAGCTGCAAAGTGAACGTGGTGGTGATGGTTTTGATGGTGGTGATGGTGGTGGTGATAGTGGTGGTGGTGGTGATGATGGTGGTGGTGGTAATGGTGGTGGTGGTGGTGATGATGGTGATGATGGTAGTGATGATGGTGATGATGGTGGTGATGGTGATGATGGTAGTGATGGTGGTGATGATGTTGGTGGTGATCAGGTTAAAGCTACTGGACGTAGAGTTTCTCAAGGCTCTGAGCTGCAAAGTGAACGTGGTTCCGGTCATCGCCAAGGCCGACTCCCTCACCATGAAGGAGCGCGAGAGACTCAAGAAGAGGGTGAGTAGCGGGGGGAGGGGTGAGGAGGGGAGTTAAGAACGGGTGAGGAGGAGAGAGACAGGGGGACCCCACCCCCCGTATTTGTTCGTGTGTGTATGGGCGTGTGTCTGTGTGCGAGGGGCTGGTAACCCCTCCACCATCAATTAGTTACCACTAAACTACGACTAAAAAATATAACTAATAAGCTTGTGGCGGAGGCCCCGGGGGGCCAGGCGTCTATGACGTCTCCTGGCCAAACCCCATTTGGCGGAGCCAGGAGATTGAATCTCTACCCTCGGGGCTCCTCCAGAAACAACAAAAAGCCACTTCGTGTGGCCACGTGGAATGTTCGAACGCTCACTGCGGAGGAGAGGCTGCCACTCCTCTGTCGGGAGCTGGACCGGTACCGCCTGGATCTCTGTGGCATTCAGGAGGTCTGGTGGACCGGTTCTGGCTCCTACCACCATGAGGGGTGGACAGTCCTCTACTCGGGGCAGCAGACTGCCAAACAACACGGTGTGGCTCTTCTTCTGAATAAAATAATGAAGGCGGCGTGGGAGCGTGGTGGTGAGGTGTGGGAAGCTGTAAGCCCCAGGCTACTTTGGGCTCGCCTTCCCATCAATCAGAGGCGAGGAGTGGTGGTCGTGGTTACTTATGCCCCCACCAAAGACGAACATCCGTGGAGGGATGCAGGCAAGTCCGATGAGTCAGATGCCTTCTATGACCTCCTGTCACAGGTGCTGGCTAAAGTGGCCCCTCGGGATAGAGTCATCTTATTGGATGACTTCAATGCCCGAGTTGGTCATGATGCTGGCACCTGGTCTGGAGTGATTGGAAGGCATTGGTGAGATTAGCTCAATAACAACGGTAGGAGGCTGCTAGACGTTTGTGCAGCCCATGGGCTTGTAATTACCAACACATTCCAGCATCGGCGCATCCACACAACATCATGGATGCATGCCGGGTCCAAGCAAGAACATCTGCTGGACTACATAGTGACGGACCAGCGGATGCGAGCCCATGTCCTTGACACCAGGACCTACCGTGGAGCTGATCTGCCCTCTGACCATCGACTAGTCATCTGTAAGATGCGCCTGCCATTCTTCCACTCCGGTGGTGGTTGTACACCCAGGACCCCATTCAAACCTAAGGTGGCCTGGTCTCAACTAGCTGATGAAAGTTGCAAGCCGGGAGTCGGAGCCATTCCCTGTTCACCGTGGGGTGCGACAGGGATGTCCTCTGGCTCCAACATTATTTAACATCTATTTCGACCACGTAGTTCGTGAAGCCTTCAGTAGCTGTACCGGAGGAATTTCCATCTGGTACAGATACAATGGGAGGCTGGCAGTCAAGGGATGGCTCCCTATTGGTCAACCATGTTACGTATGCCGATGACCTGGTAATTGCTGCTCACTCAGAGGAGGAGTTGGAGACGCTGCTGCTGAAACTGGAGCGTGCTACTAAGAGATGGGGCCTTACCATCAGCCCTACAAAAACTAAGCACCTGCCTGGGTATTTTGTACCATCGGACACTCCACCCCCACAACTCCCAATCGGTGATGGGGCAGTTGTGGAGAGAGTGGAGAGTTTCCCATACCTGGGCAGTGTGCTTATGACTGGCTCCAGTTTAACAGCAGAGGTCTCATCCGAATCAGTCGAGCGGCAATATCTTTTCATCGGTTGCATAACGCTGTGTGGAACCTACCTGGTCTGTCGCTCCGCACTATGCTTCAGGTCTTCTCGGCCACGGTCATTCCCTCCCTTCTCTACGCTTGCGAAACGTGGACCCCCCTAATGGAACATCTTCGCCGGTTAGAAACATTTAGGCTGGCCTGCCTACGATCCATCCTGGGTTTAACCAGACTGGATTGTGTGAGGAGCTCACAAATCCTTGAAAGATCTGGGCAGGGTCCCATCGGTGAGCTCCTCCGGCAGGCAAGGCTGCGATGGCTGGGTCATGTAGCCCGCATGCCCAGCCACCGCATGCCGAAACAGCTTTTGTTTGGCCGGATTGAGAGGGCTAAGCGGGCGTGGCACGGGCTAGAGAAGAGATGGAGTGATGTGGTACAGGAGGACGTGGAGCTGAGTGGACTTGCCGATGACTGGTACCAGCGGTGTCAAGATCGGCCTCTGTGGAGGAGGCTCGTGAAGGATGCTACTGGGCAGTTGGAGGCAGTCGCCCTCCAACAACAACGGAGGACGGAGGAGCGACGCTCAGAACAACGAGCGGAGCGCCGGGTGGCTAAAGCACAGCAGGTTGGCACAGTAGGGGGCACAGGTGGTGCATCAGCCAGTCATCTCAGTCAGTCGACCCGTGGCACCTGGGTCTGCCCCGTGACCTCCTGCCAGCGGGCGTTCGACACTTCACGTGGCCTCAGGGTGCACATAGCCTGGCACAAGCGTCGTGGTGACGTCACCGCCACTTAGTGGCGAATGGCGGTTGTTGTTGTTGTCTCTGTGTGTCTGTATGTGTGTGTCTCTGTGTGTGTGTCACTGTGTGTGTGTCACTTCAATAGCTGTACCGGGGGAATCTCCATATGGTACAGATATAATGGGAGGCTAATCGATGCCCGGGTGCGGTCAAGGGATGGCTCCCTATTGCTCAACCACGTTATGTATGCTGATGATTTGGTAATAGCTGCTCAGTCAGAGGAGGAGTTGGAGACGCTGCTGCTGAGACTGGAGCGTGCCACTAAGAGGTGGGGCCTTACCATCAGCCCCACCAAAACTAAGCACCTGCCTGGGTATTTTGTACCATTGGACACTCCACCCCCACAACTCCCAATCGGTGATGGGGCAGTTGTGGAGAGAGTGGAGAGTTTCCCATACCTGGGCAGTGTGCTTATGACTGGCTCCAGTTTAACAGCAGAGGTCTCACTCCGAATCAGTCGAGCGGCAATATCTTTTCATCAGTTGCGTAATGTTGTGTGGAAGCTACCTGGTCTGTCGCTCCGCACTAAGCTTCAGGTCTTCTCGGCCACGGTCATTCCCTCCCTTCTCTACGCTTGCGAAACGTGGACCCCCCTAATGGAACATCTTCGCCGGTTAGAAACATTTAGGCTGGCCTGCCTACGATCCATCCTGGGTTTAACCAGACTGGATTGTGTGAGGAGCTCACAAATCCTTGAAAGATCTGGGCAGGGTCCCATCGGTGAGCTCCTCCGGCAGGCAAGGCTGCGATGGCTGGGTCATGTAGCCCGCATGCCCAGCCACCGCATGCCGAAACAACTTTTGTTCGGCCGGATTGAGGGGGCTAAGCGGGCGTGGCACGGGCTAGAGAAGAGATGGAGTGATGTGGTACAGGAGGACGTGGAGCTGAGTGGACTTGCCGATGACTGGTACCAGCGGTGTCAAGATCGGCCTCTGTGGAGGAGGCTCGTGAAGGATGCTACTGGGCAGTTGGAGGTAGTCGCCCTCCAACAACAACGGAGGGCGGAGGAGCGACGCTCAGAACAACGAGCGGAGCGCCGGGTGGCTAAAGCACAGCAGGTTGGCACAGTAGGGGGCACAGGTGGTGCATCAGCCAGTCATCTCAGTCAGTCGACCCGTGGCACCTGGGTCTGCCCCGTGACCTCCTGCCAGCGGGCGTTCGACACTTCACGTGGCCTCAGGGTGCACATAGCCTGGCACAAGCGTCGTGGTGACGTCACCGCCACTTAGTGGCGAATGGCGGTTGTTGTTGTTGTGTCACTGTGTGTGTGTGTCTGTGTGTGTGTCTCTGTGTGTGTGTCACTGTGTGTGTCTCTGTGTGTCTGTGTGTGTGTGTCTCTGTGTGTGTGTCACTGTGTGTGTCACTGTGTGTGTCTCTGTGTCTCTGTGTGTGTCTCTGTGTGTGTGTGTCTGTGTGTGTGTCTCTGTGTGTGTCACTGTGTCTCTGTGTCTGTGTGTCACTGTGTGTGTCACTGTGTGTCTGTGTGTGTCTCTGTGTTTCTGTGTGTGTGTCTGTGTGTATGTGTCTCTCTGTGTGTGTGTGTCACTGTGTGTGTGTCTCTGTGTCTTTGTGTGTGTGTCTCTGTGTCTTTGTGTGTGTGTCTCTGTGTGTGTGTCACTGTGTGTGTCACTGTGTGTGTCTCTGTGTCTCTGTGTGTGTGTGTCACTGTGTGTGTGTGTCACTGTGTGTCTCTGTGTGTGTCACTGTGTGTGTGTCACTGTGTGTGTGTCTCTGTGTGTCTGTGTGTGTGTGTCTCTGTGTGTGTGTCACTGTATGTGTCACTGTGTGTGTCTGTGTGTGTGTGTGTCTGTGTGTGTGTCTGTGTGTGTGTGTAGGTGATGAAGGAGATGGAGGATCACGGCATCAAGATCTATCAGCTGCCTGACGCGGAGTCGGACGAGGAGGAGGCCTTCAGGGAGCAGCTCCGCCTCGTTAAGGTAGCCCCAGTAGCATCATCATCAGTATCATCATCACTAGTAGCATCATCATCATCAGTATCATCATCACTAGTAGCATCATCATCATCAGTATCATCATCACTAGTAGCATCATCAGTATCATCATCACTAGTAGTATCATCATCATCAGTATCATCATCACTAGTAGCATCATCATCGTAGCATCATCATCAGCATCAGTATCATCATCACTGGTAGCATCATCATCATCAGTATCATCATCATCATCATTAGTAGCATCATCATCATCAGTATCATCACTAGTAGCATCATCATCACTAGTAGCATCATCAGCATCATCATCATCACTAGTAGCATCATCAGTATCATCATCACTAGTAGCATCATCAGCATCATCATCATCATCACTAGTAGCATCATCAGTATCATCATCACTAGTAGCATCATCATCAGTATCATCATCATCATCATCAGTATCATCATCATCACTAGTAGCATCATCATCAGTATCATCATCATCATCATCACTAGTAGCATCATCACTAGTAGCATCATCACTAGTAGCATCATCAGTATCATCATCATCACTAGTAGCATCATCACTATTAGCATCATCATCAGCAGTAGCATCATCAGTATCATCATCATCATCATCACTAGTAGCATCATCACTAGTAGCATCATCAGTATCATCATCACTAGTAGCATCATCATCAGCAGTAGCATCATCATCATCAGTATCATCATCATCAGCATCATCACTAGTAGCATCATCATCACTAGTAGCATCATCATCACTAGTAGCATCATCATCATCAGTATCATCATCATCATCAGCATCATCATCATTACTAGTAGCATCATCATCATCAGTATCATCAGTAGCATCATCATCACTAGTAGCATCATCATCACTACTAGCATCATAATCATAATCAGCATCACTAGTAGCATCATCATCATCACTAGTAGCATCATCATCACTTGTAGCATCATCAGCATCATCATTAGCAGTAGCATCATCATCAGCAGTAGCATCATCAGCATCATCATCATCATCAGCAGCAGCAGTAGCATCATCATCACTAGTAGCATCATCAGCATCATCATCAGCAGTAGCATCATCATCAATAGTAGCATCATCAGCATCATCATCAGCAGTAGCATCATCATCACTAGTAGCATCATCAGCAGTAGCATCATCATCACTAGTAGCATAATGAGCATCATCAGCAGCAGTAGCATCATCATCACTAGTAGCATCATCATCACTAGTAGCATCATCAGCATCATCAGCAGCAGTAGCATCATCATCACTAGTAGCATCATCATCATCATCACTAGTAGCATCATCATCATCAGCAGTAGCATCATCATCACTAGTAGCATCATCATCATCACTAGTAGCATCATCATCACTAGTAGCATCATAATCATCATCACTAGTAGCATCGTCATCACTAGTAGCATCGTCAGCATCATCATCAGCAGTAGCATCATCATCACTAGTAGCATCATCAGCATCGTCAGCATCATCATCATCAGCAGTAGCATCACCATCACTAGTAGCATCATCAGCATCATCAGCAGTAGCATCATCAGCAGCAGTAGCATCATCATCACTAGTAGCATCGTCAGCATCATCAGCAGCAGTACCATCATCATCATCACTAGTAGCATCATCAGCAGTAGCATCATCATCAGCAGTAGCATCATCATCACTAGTAGCCTCATCAGCATCATCATCAGCAGTAGCATCAGCAGCAGCAGTAGCATCATCATCACTAGTAGCATCATCAGCATCATCAGCAGTAGCATCATCAGCATCATCAGCAGTAGCATCATCAGCATCATCAGCAGTAGCATCATCGTCAGCAGTAGCATCATCGTCAGCAGTAGCATCATCATCAGCAGTAGCATCATCGTCAGCAGTAGCATCATCATCAGCAGTAGCATCATCATCAGCAGTAGCATCATCATCAGCAGTAGCAGCAGTAACAGCAGCAGCATCATCAGTGGTAAATGAGTGGTGAGCATGTGGTGAGTGTGTGGTGAGCAGGAGAGCGTGGTGAGTGTGTGGTGAGCGTGTGGTGAGTGTGTGGTGAGCGTGGTGAGTGAGTGGTGAGTGAGTGGTGAGTGAGTGGTGAGCACGAGAGCGTGGTGAGTGTGTGGTGAGTGTGTGGTGAGTGTGTGGTGAGTGAGTGGTGAGTATGTGGTGAGCGTGTGGTGAGCAGGATAGCGTGGTGAGTGAGTGGTGAGTGTGGTGAGTGAGTGGTGAGTGAGTGGTGAGTGTGTGGTGAGCAGGAGAGCGTGGTGAGTGAGTGGTGAGTGTGGTGAGTGAGTGGTGAGTGAGTGGTGAGTGAGTGGTGAGTGAGTGGTGAGTGAGTGTATGGTGAGTGGTGAGTGAGTGGTGAGTGTGGTGAGTGAGTGGTGAGTGAGTGAGTGGTGAGTGAGTGGTGAGTGAGTGGTGAGTGTGGTGAGTGAGTGGTGAGTGAGTGGTGAGTGTGTGGTGAGCAGGATAGCGTGGTGAGTGAGTGGTGAGTGTGGTGAGTGAGTGGTGAGTGAGTGGTGAGTGAGTGGTGAGTGTGGTGAGTGAGTGGTGAGTGAGTGAGTGGTGAGTGAGTGGTGAGTGAGTGGTGAGTGTGGTGAGTGAGTGGTGAGTATGTGGTGAGCGTGTGGTGAGCAGGATAGCGTGGTGAGTGAGTGGTGAGTGTGGTGAGTGAGTGGTGAGTGAGTGGTGAGTGTGTGGTGAGCAGGAGAGCGTGGTGAGTGAGTGGTGAGTGAGTTTGTGGAGAGTGAATGGTGAGTGAGTAGTGAGTGGTGAGTGAGTGGTGAGTGAGTGGTGAGTGAGTGGTGAGTGTGGTGAGTGAGTGGTGAGTGTGTGGTGAGCAGGAGAGCGTGGTGAGTGAGTGGTGAGTGAGTTTGTGGAGAGTGAATGGTGAGTGAGTAGTGAGTGGTGAGTGAGTGAGTGGTGAGTGAGTGGTGAGTGTGGTGAGTGAGTGGTGAGTGTGTGGTGAGCAGGAGAGCGTGGTGAGTGAGTGGTGAGTGTGGTGAGTGTGGTGAGTGAGTGGTGAGTGTGTGGTGAGCAGGAGAGCGTGGTGAGTGAGTGGTGAGTGTGGTGAGTGAGTGGTGAGTGAGTGGTGAGTGTGTGGTGAGCAGGAGAGCGTGGTGAGTGAGTGGTGAGTGTGGTGAGTGAGTGGTGAGTGTGTGGTGAGCAGGATAGCGTGGTGAGTGAGTGGTGAGTGTGGTGAGTGAGTGGTGAGCGTGTGGTGAGCAGGATAGCGTGGTGAGTGAGTGGTGAGTGTGGTGAGTGAGTGGTGAGTGAGTGGTGAGTGTGTGGTGAGCAGGAGAGCGTGGTGAGTGAGTGGTGAGTGAGTTTGTGGAGAGTGAATGGTGAGTGAGTAGTGAGTGGTGAGTGAGTGAGTGGTGAGTGAGTGGTGAGTGTGGTGAGTGAGTGGTGAGTGAGTGGTGAGTGAGTGAGTGGTGAGTGAGTGGTGAGTGTGGTGAGTGAGTGGTGAGTGAGTGGTGAGTGAGTGGTGAGTGAGTGGTGAGTGAGTGAGTGGTGAGTGAGTGGTGAGTGTGGTGAGTGAGTGGTGAGTGAGTGGTGAGTGTGTGGTGAGCAGGATAGCGTGGTGAGTGAGTGGTGAGTGTGGTGAGTGAGTGGTGAGTGAGTGGTGAGTGTGTGGTGAGCAGGAGAGCGTGGTGAGTGAGTGGTGAGTGTGGTGAGTGAGTGGTGAGTGAGTGGTGAGTGTGTGGTGAGCAGGAGAGCGTGGTGAGTGAGTGGTGAGTGAGTTTGTGGAGAGTGAGTGGTGAGTGAGTAGTGAGTGGTGAGTGTGGTGAGTGAGTGGTGAGTGTGTGGTGAGCAGGAGAGCGTGGTGAGTGAGTGGTGAGTGTGGTGAGTGAGTGGTGAGTGTGTGGTGAGCAGGATAGCGTGGTGAGTGAGTGGTGAGTGTGGTGAGTGAGTGGTGAGCGTGTGGTGAGCAGGATAGCGTGGTGAGTGAGTGGTGAGTGTGGTGAGTGAGTGGTGAGTGAGTGGTGAGTGTGTGGTGAGCAGGAGAGCGTGGTGAGTGAGTGGTGAGTGAGTTTGTGGAGAGTGAATGGTGAGTGAGTAGTGAGTGGTGAGTGAGTGAGTGGTGAGTGAGTGGTGAGTGTGGTGAGTGAGTGGTGAGTGAGTGGTGAGTGAGTGAGTGGTGAGTGAGTGGTGAGTGTGGTGAGTGAGTGGTGAGTGAGTGGTGAGTGTGTGGTGAGTGAGTGGTGAGTGAGTGAGTGGTGAGTGAGTGGTGAGTGTGGTGAGTGAGTGGTGAGTGAGTGGTGAGTGTGTGGTGAGCAGGATAGCGTGGTGAGTGAGTGGTGAGTGTGGTGAGTGAGTGGTGAGTGAGTGGTGAGTGTGTGGTGAGCAGGAGAGCGTGGTGAGTGAGTGGTGAGTGTGGTGAGTGAGTGGTGAGTGAGTGGTGAGTGTGTGGTGAGCAGGAGAGCGTGGTGAGTGAGTGGTGAGTGAGTTTGTGGAGAGTGAGTGGTGAGTGAGTAGTGAGTGGTGAGTGTGGTGAGTGAGTGGTGAGTGTGTGGTGAGCAGGAGAGCGTGGTGAGTGAGTGGTGAGTGTGGTGAGTGAGTGGTGAGTGAGTGGTGAGTGTGTGGTGAGCAGGAGAGCGTGCCGTTCGCCGTGGTGGGCTCCACGTGTCTGTGCGAGGTGAGGGGAGGACGGAAAGTTCGCGGCCGCCTCTACCCCTGGGGAGTCGTGGAGGTGGAGAACGCAGAACATAACGACTTCCTGAAGCTTCGCACCATGCTGGTGTACGCTCACCACTCACCACTCGCTCACCACTCACTCACCACTCACTCACCACTCACTCACCACTCACTCACCCACTTACTCACCCACTTACTCACTCACCACTCACTCACCACTCACTCACCACTCACTCACCCACTTACTCACTCACCACTCACTCACCACTCACTCACCACTCACTCACCCACTTACTCACTCACCACTCACTCACCACTCACTCACCACTCACCACTCACTTACTCACTCACCACTCACTCATTCATTCACTCACTCACCACTCACCCACTTACTCACCCACTTACTCAGAACTCACCACTCACTCACCACTCACTCACCACTCACTCACCACTCACTCATTCATGCATTCAATCACCACTCACTCACTCACCACTCACTCATTCATGCATTCAATCACCACTCACTCGCTCACCACTCACTCACCACTCACTCACCACTCACTCACCACTCACCACTCACTCACCACTCACTCACCCACTTACTCACTCACCACTCACTCATTCATGCATTCAATCACCACTCACTCACTCACCACTCACCACTTACACACTCACCACTCACTGACCACTCATTCATTCATTCACTCACCACTCACTCACCACTCACTCACCACTCACCACTCACTCACCACTCACTCACCACTCACTCACTCACCACTCACTCACCACTCACCACTCACTCACCACTCACTCACCACTCACTCACCACTCACTCACCACTCACTCACCCACTTACTCACCCACTTACTCACTCACCACTCACTCATTCATTCACTCACTCACCACTCGCTCACCACTCACTCACCACTCACTCACCACTCACTCACCCACTTACTCACTCACCACTCACTCATTCATGCATTCAATCACCACTCACTCACCCACTTACTCACCCACTTACTCAGAACTCACCACTCACTCACCACTCACTCACTCATTCATTCACTCACTCACCACTCACTCACTCACCACTCACTCACTCACTTACTCACTCATTCATTCACCACTCACTCACTCACTCACCACTCACTCACCACTCACTCACCACTCACTCACCACTCACTCACCCACTTACTCACTCACCACGCACTCATTCATTCATTCAATCACCACTCACTCACTCACCACTCACTCACCACTTACACACTCACTCACCACTCACTCACCACTCACTAACCACATACTCACCACTCACCACTCGCTCACCACTCACTCACCACTCACTCACCACTCACTCATTCATTCACCACTCACTCACTCACCACTCACTCACCACTCACTCACCACTCACGCACCCACTTACTCTCTCACCACTCACTCATTCATGCATTCAATCACCACTCACTCACTCACCACTCACCACTTACACACTCACCACTCACTGACCACTCATTCATTCATTCACTCACCACTCACTCACCACTCACTCACCACTCACCACTCACTCACCACTCACTCACCACTCACTCACTCACCACTCACCACTCACCACTCACTCACCACTCACCACTCACTCACCACTCACTCACCACTCACTCATCAATCACTACTCACTCACCACCTCACTCATTACCCACCACTCACTCACTCACCACTCACTCACCACTCACTCACCACACACTCACCACTCACTCACTCACCACTCACTCACTCACCACTCACTCACCACTCACTCACTACTCACCACTTACTCACTCACTCACCACTCACTCACCACTCACTCACTACTCACCACTTACTCACTCACTCACCACTCACCACTCACTCACCACTCACTCACCACTCACTCACCACTCACTCACCCACTTACTCACTCACCACTCACTCATTCATTCACTCACTCACCACTCACTCACCCACTTACTCACCCACTTACTCAGAACTCACCACTCACTCACCACTCACTCACCACTCAATCACCACTCACTCACCACTCACCCACTTACTCACTCACCCACTTACTCACCCACTTACTCACCACTCACTCACCACTCACTCACCCACTTACTCACTCACCACTCACCACTTACACACTCACTCACCACTCACTCACCACTCACTCACCACTCACCACTCACTCACCAATCACCACTCGCTCACCACTCACTCATTCACTCACCACTCACTCACTCACTCACCACTCACTCACCACTCACTCACTCACTCAGTCACTCACTCACCACTCACTCACCACTCACTCACTCACTCACCACTCACTCACCACTCACTCACCATTCACTCACCACTCACTCACTCACCACTCACCACTCACTCACTCACTCATCACTCACTCACCACTCACCACTCACTCACCACTCACTCACCACTCACTCACCCACTTACTCACTCACCACTCACTCATTCATGCATTCAATCACCACTCACTCACTCACCACTCACCACTTACACACTCACCACTCACTGACCACTCATTCATTCATTCACTCACCACTCACTCACCACTCACTCACCACTCACCACTCACTCACCACTCACTCACCACTCACTCACTCACCACTCACTCACCACTCACCACTCACTCACCACTCACTCACCACTCACTCACCACTCACTCACCACTCACTCACCACTTACTCACCCACTTACTCACTCACCACTCACTCATTCATTCACTCACTCACCACTCGCTCACCACTCACTCACCACTCACTCACCACTCACTCACCCACTTACTCACTCACCACTCACTCATTCATGCATTCAATCACCACTCACTCACCCACTTACTCACCCACTTACTCAGAACTCACCACTCACTCACCACTCACTCACTCATTCATTCACTCACTCACCACTCACTCACTCACCACTCACTCACTCACTTACTCACTCATTCATTCACCACTCACTCACTCACTCACCACTCACTCACCACTCACTCACCACTCACTCACCACTCACTCACCCACTTACTCACCCACCACGCACTCATTCATTCATTCAATCACCACTCACTCACTCACCACTCACTCACCACTTACACACTCACTCACCACTCACTCACCACTCACTAACCACATACTCACCACTCACCACTCGCTCACCACTCACTCACCACTCACTCACCACTCACTCATTCATTCACCACTCACTCACTCACCACTCACTCACCACTCACTCACCACTCACTCACCCACTTACTCTCTCACCACTCACTCATTCATGCATTCAATCACCACTCACTCACTCACCACTCACCACTTACACACTCACCACTCACTGACCACTCATTCATTCATTCACTCACCACTCACTCACCACTCACTCACCACTCACCACTCACTCACCACTCACTCACCACTCACTCACTCACCACTCACCACTCACTCACCACTCACCACTCACTCACCACTCACTCACCACTCACTCATCAATCACTACTCACTCACCACCTCACTCATTACCCACCACTCACTCACTCACCACTCACTCACCACTCACTCACCACACACTCACCACTCACTCACTCACCACTCACTCACTCACCACTCACTCACCACTCACTCACTACTCACCACTTACTCACTCACTCACCACTCACTCACCACTCACTCACTACTCACCACTTACTCACTCACTCACCACTCACCACTCACTCACCACTCACTCACCACTCACTCACCACTCACTCACCCACTTACTCACTCACCACTCACTCATTCATTCACTCACTCACCACTCACTCACCCACTTACTCACCCACTTACTCAGAACTCACCACTCACTCACCACTCACTCACCACTCAATCACCACTCACTCACCACTCACCCACTAACTCACTCACCCACTTACTCACCCACTTACTCACCACTCACTCACCACTCACTCACCCACTTACTCACTCACCACTCACCACTTACACACTCACTCACCACTCACTCACCACTCACTCACCACTCACCACTCACTCACCAATCACCACTCGCTCACCACTCACTCATTCACTCACCACTCACTCACTCACTCACCACTCACTCACCACTCACTCACTCACTCATTCACTCACTCACCACTCACTCACCACTCACTCACTCACTCACCACTCACTCACCACTCACTCACCATTCACTCACCACTCACTCACTCACCACTCACCACTCACTCACTCACTCATCACTCACTCACCACTCACCACTCACTCACCACTCACTCACCACTCACTCACCACTCACTCACTCACCACTCATTCATTCACTCACCACTCACCACTCACTCACCACTCACTCACCACATACTCACCACTCACTCACCACTCATTCATTCACTCACCACTCACCACTCACTCACTCACCACTCACTCACCACACACTCACCACTCACTCACCACTCACTCACTCACCACTCACTCACCACTCACTCACCACTCACCACTCACCACTCACTTACTCACCACTCACTCACCACTCACCACTCACTCACCACTCACTCACTCACTCACCACTCACTCACCACTAACTCACCACTCACTCACTCACCACTCACTCACCACACACTCACCACTCACCATTCACTCACTCACCCACTTACTCACTCACCACTCACTCATTCATGCATTCAATCACCACTCACTCACTCACTCACCACTCACCACTTACACACTCACTCACCACTCACTGACCACTCACTCATTCATTCAATCACTCACCACTCACTCACCACTCACTCACCCACTTACTCGCTCACCACTCACTCACCATTCACCACTCACTCACCACTCACTCACCCACTTACTCACTCACCACTTACACACTCACTCACTCACTCACCACTCACCCACTTACTCACCCACTTACTCAGAACTCACCACTCACTCACCACTCACTCACTCATTCATTCACTCACCACTCACTCACTCACTCACCACTCACTCACTCACTTACTCACTCATTCATTCACCACTCACTCACTCACCACTCACTCACCACTCACTCACCACTCACCACTCACTCACCACTCACTCACC